CCGTGTCGAGCTGGATGGCGTTTCCTCATCAATGGCCTCTGCGCCAGGCGTCACCCGTGCATGTGCCCTTCTCATCGATGGAGAGATTCATGGTTTCGTGGTCCCGTCCAACCAGGATCCCGGAGCCATCCTAGAGCACACTCGTAGACTTCAGCCATACTATGCCGTGCCGTCTAATGTTCACTTGTTAGATGAGTTCCCTACAACCGCCAATGGCAAGATTGACAAGAAATCTCTCCGCATACTGGCCAGTGGACCAGCTTCTCCTACCATTGGACCAGCGTCTCCTACCATTTCAGAATCATCAACTGTTTTCAGCACAACAGTCCAGTCAGCAACTCTGTCAAAAGCACTCAGCGGCAAATCGAGTCCCTTGGTTGGCTTTCGATCTGTGTCTTCTTCTTCGTCTCTTACTGCCGCTTCCACTGAAAAAGAGAAAGAAGACAAGGTTGAGGAAGAGATTGACCTCTCCCGCGACGTCCCCGATAAGAAGTGGCCTAAACCCTGGAGAGGCCTCAGAAAACGAATTCTCATTCCTTATCGATTTCTATTCAGCTTTGTTGGCTTCATCAATATCGGAGTGCTCATTGCCGTTCTTGTTCTTCACCCTAGAGTGGAATGGCTCGCAACCATCACAGCTGCGAACCTTGTCTCCGGCGTACTCATCCGCCAAGATGTCGTCATCAATATGCTCTACACCACGTTCTGCTCTGTCCCCAAATCGTTCCCACTTTGGATTCGCCAGCGCTGCGCAAAGATCTACCACCTCGGCGGAGTCCACTCCGGTGCTGGTATCTGCGCCACAGCATGGCTCGTCGCATCTACCATTCAAGCTACTGTTGCTCGCTTCCAACTAGACGGACCGCCATCTAGAGCCTCTCTAGCCAACCTAGTCGTCTCTTGGCTGCTTTGTGGTCTCTGCTGCTTTATTGTCGCGGCTGCCTGGCCTCCCTTTAGGAAGGCTAATCACGACCTGTTTGAGAAGATGCACCGCTTTCTCGGTTGGTCTGCACTTGCGCTTTTCTGGGCCAAGACAGTTGTCTCTGTTTACGACTCAACACCAGCTGGTGAGAATTTCGGGCATGCCTTGGCCAAGACTCCAGCCCTTTGGATGCTCAGCGTGGCCACCTTTAGCGTTGCCTTCTCTTGGTTCTTCCTCCGCAAGGTCAAGGTCAATGCTGAGCCGCTGTCGGAGCATGCTGTCCGCTTGCACTTTGACTATACAGTTCCTGTGAATGGCAGCTTTACGCGAATCTCCTATCGTCCGCTCTTTGAGTGGCACTCTTTTGCGACGATCCCAACCCCGCAGCCGGACCTCGAGGCGGGCATTTCGGCAGGTTATTCTCTGGTGGTATCGAACGCTGGCGATTGGACCAAGCGGTGCATTCGGAATCCTCCCACTAGTATCTGGGTCCGTGGCCTTCCGGCATGCGGAGTCATGCGCATTGCCACGCTGTTTAACCGCGTTGTCGTGATTGCCACGGGATCTGGTATTGGCCCCATGCTAGGTCATATCGGACACCCAAGCTGTCCCACTCAGCTCATCTGGTCAACCCCGTCTCCCGAGAAAACATTTGGGAAGAAGATCATCGATACCATCAAAGGGTCCATCCCTGGCGCCGTCATCCACGACACCCGAACCCAGGGCCGGCCCGACCTTGTTCGCATGGGTTACAACATGGTCAAGGAGTTTAACGCCGAAGCCGTTATCATCATTGCCAACGAGAAAATCACTAAAAAAGTGGTATATGGCCTAGAGACTCGAGGTGTTCCCGCCTTTGGCGCCATTTGGGACAGCTGAGTGATGACAGCGCTGGTCTAATGCATGTCTCAGTCAGTGGTTTGAAGGAGCATGGGGGATATGGATATCCCCCGCTATTGACATTATCATTCTTACATTCTCTGCACAATATTTTGCATGTGTCTTGTACCATCTGGATTTGGTGTTTTGAAGGAGTGGCAAAGCAGTGTTTTTCTTTTCTTTTTCTTTTTTCCTTGTCTATATTGGAGTGCGCAATCGTTTATACGTATGTAGTGGAGGTCATTGTTCTTCGTTTTTTCAGGCTTGATTTTGCTGATTATGTGGTTTACGTTGTACAAAAATTAGTTGTTGGTATCTTTAAAAGTCTCGCTCCAATCGAAAGCTTCAATATATTCAGCTCAGCTCAACAATGACGTGGTGTTCCTGTATATCCTGGTGTCTGGCGTGACGTTGGGGCTGCCTGCCGTATCAAGATGCAAGATCGCATATAAGGCGAGTCTCCAGTCGCCCAGTATAATAGACTTGTCATCGGCACTGTGCTGCAAAGTCTCTTTTCCCGAAGGGCCGCCCCGCAGACAAAGGCTTGGTTCCCGCCCCCATCTATCCGGAAGAGGGGAAAACAAAAAAATATGTAGCTGATAAAGCCCCCACACGTGGGTTCCTGATCCGAAACCTAATGAAAGATGATGATATGATAGGTTCTAGGGGGGGCGTGTCTGATCGTCAATGTTGCGGGTTTTTAAATACAAGCATTAGATGATGGAGCATGAGAGCTTTTAGGATGCTGAGCTAGAGCAAGTGTCAAAGTTGCGGTCTGAATAACAGAATTGCCAAAGCCCGCTATGGAGATGGAGGCGCGTGAGTGCAGAATATGATGGGTAGCTAACATGTGCTTCCCCTCTCTTTCTTGCGAGCAGGGGATACCATGTCTTTTGGGGGTTTTTATTCGTTAATTTGTTTCATTGTTCTTTTCAGCTATGATGAAGAGGCTATTTGAACTCTGGACTCTGGATGATGGTAACTTGTATGCGCTTTTGGCTTTAGTATTGCAATTGGTCTTTTCCGCACTCTAGCAGTACTTTTTGCAAGCAAAAAGTTTTGAATTGTTCGTTAGTTTGGCTGAGGACATTTCATTAGGTAGTAGTTCTGAAGTCTACCAAGTTACGAGTAAATCTAGTACACTATTCCTGCAACACCAGCTTTCAATACGTTAACATCGCATGTTTATCGGGTTTTCGACCGCAATAAGAAAAGCAAGGGTATGGAATAGCCCACTATCATCTGGATTACTAGCCGTCAAGATTGCAGGTATGACTGATCGGAAACAGAAGAGGGGAAGCCAGAAACAGATCCTCAGTCGGCTCTAAAGACTGTAATGTCTTACCTGTGACGTTATTCACTTTTCTTAGCCTTTACGGGCGCTTAAAATTAGTTTACAAGAGAGAATCCTTGTTGGCTGCCGTTCGCGATTCATGCACTTGTCATGGGCCCTGCGGAAACATTGCTTACAGCAAAATCCACTTGGGAATCTCAGCCGTGGTGATCATGTTGGAGAGGGGAAGCAGGGCTTTGCGATTTTCTTAGTAAATTCCGGTGAATTGGATGAAATAGCGCAGCAACTGTCACAAAATGTGAGCTTGTTGCTCGCCTGGTGCCTTGTCATTTGCCAACAATGCAACTCAGCTACCCACCGCTTGTGGGGGTCCACGCTCAACAAGGATTATATGGCTAGGTAATTTAAGCGTTGTAGATCCCTGGGGCGATGTTGGGAGATCGCATGAAAGCCGAGCTGCACACTAATGGCTTTTATTTTCACTCCTCTAGCTATTCGGATCCCATAATATGTTAGCATCCATTGTTGAATTGGGCCCTATTGCGTCGGAACTGGCGGCATGTTGAGAGACAAAGGTGAATCAACATCATGCAGAAGGCGTCTCTAGATCGTAATTTCACTTTATCGATGATTCAATTGACAGCTGAATGTTTCTCTAATAGGTCACGCTCTGTGGTATTTCGTATACTAGCGCTGGTGGACAAGGGATGCCTGCAAGATGCCAGGGGAGTACTGGACACTCACCTGATGGTGACGATCCCGGTCAGGCTTGGATCTCGTCACTTTATCGGCATTAACAAAGAGGAACGGACTAATTCGGCTCTCGTCTACTGCCACCTAGTTGTAACTAAAAAATCTACTACACGTGGGAAGCGAGCAAGGGCAGTGGCAGAGCACGTTTCTCCGCGCCTTAGCGCCCACATGTGTCGAGTCTAATATGTGCCCACCATCCAAGTAGCAGTAGATTAATCCCGGCAGTTTTGGAAGAGGTTTGGGGGCCAATATCGGCGACAAGGAGATGTTGAGCGAGTTAAGCAGTGGTGTGTAGCGACAGGTTCTTAGAGAGGTTGCAGCTGATACAGGCACGCCAACATGTGCCCAGGTTGCATGGGCTCGCTGCCTTTCGCACTAAACAGGGGACTGTGCCTCATCGTGAGCAAGGCGACATGCAGAGTAGCATGGCATAAGCTGAGAGCTAGATTGAAGACGAGGAATAGCCCAAGTGGGAAAGCAGGCTGGCGTTAGGCAGTGAAGCTGAGACAATGATGGTGATTGTAGGCCAGCTGGTCAAGGTTGTTGAGCTGGGGCATCTGTATAAAGGCGCATTTTTTTTATCGTCACAAGACTTGACTTGTTTTTCTAAGAGCGACGTGATATGGTAGTTGATTAGTATCAAGTATAGCTCGATTGGTTGACATCTCGATGCTACTCCAAAAAGTCGCCGTGAACTGAGACTGTCTTAGATAATAATCCATCACGATGCGCTAAGACATGAGGCTCAAGTGCGTGACGTGAAGCAGCTGATGGTGATGAGATAGACTTGAGTCTGCTTGTTTGAGAGTATGTTAGCGTAAGAGGGTAGTTGCCGTGCTTTTTAAGAGACATTGGAAGAGAAGCCACCAGAATAGCATGATAATCCAAACAAGGCAATTAGCTGGAGTTTACGGAGCCGGCACTTTAGATAACTCCCGTAACCGTAATGTCATAAACACGTGATTGAGCGGCGCTGCTGGTTCGGACTACGGACATTATAATGACACCCGAATTACCGTAAACTTCCTCCTTCTCGGGCGTGGCTGTGGATGGATGAGCAAGGCTGCTGTTTTTTTTTTTCTCTACACTGAATTAATTGAGCTTGTAGTCAATTAATCACGACATCAGCATTTGACAGATCCTTGTGCCGTAATGGATGGTAATTCAGCAGTTCAGGCCAATGACATCGGCATCGCGACTCAGCCGTCTGCAATCGGCTCCGGAAGCCGTCCGGCAGTTGCGGAGCCGCCGAAAACCCGGGCCTGTGCCAACTGTGCCCGGTTAAAGATGAAATGTCGATGGCCGGTATCCGGCGCGGGCCACTTGCAGGACACCAGCTGCATCCGGTATGTGGTCGTGGGAGAAACGAATGTATATGGATGGAGGTATGGATGGGACGATGCTGACTTGGCCTGCGCTTATGTAGATGCGGCCGCATGAAGATTCCCTGCCATGTGCCGGCGCCGGTGCAGCGTAAGAAGAGGGGGAAGTCGACGTATGTCATTGTCATATTGCCTTTTGAACCCCTTTCCCTTTCTTCTTGGTATTTTGCTTACAGGTACTTGCCGTATACAGGCGCGTGGCTCAGCTTGAGAGGAAGATTGACAGCTTGGTGTCTATGATTGCGTCTACTCAGCAATTACAGACCTCTGGAACACCCCCCTTGACTCCTGAAAGCCACGATACAATTGTAGTGAATGATCCATCAACCATACCTGTATCACAGCCGCTGCAAGATGCAGCGCAGAAACCACAGTCAACCCAAGCTGCCCCCAAAGTTCCCCATTTCCCACTCGCTATTCCCTCTGACTCTTCGACAACGTTTCAGTTGATCCCGGGGTTCAGCTTCACCTTAGAGGAGGCTCAATCATACTTTAATATCTATCGGCGTGAATTCATGCCCAACTATCCCTTCGTCATCATTCCGGAAGATATGGATCCACGCCAATTATACGCAACATCGCGATGTCTCTTTTGGACTATCATGGCCGCAGTGGCTCCTCAATCATCGGCGACTCAGCAGGGTGTTGAGAATTGGTTCCGCCAATACATTGCCGACAGGATGGTTGTGAAGCAAGAGAAGAACTTGGCACTTTTGCAAGCTATTCTTATTCACCTGGCTTGGTAAGGCCCTGGAAGCGTGAACTGTTCCTATGCTGAGTCGGCAATGCTAAGAATCTGGATAATGATAGGGCCGATTTCCACTTCTACATGAGGACAGAAGCGACAAACTTTATGCATTTGGCCACTGCGCTGGCTATGGACCTGAAGCTAGACAAGTCACCGGAGACTACCAGATTGCATCCCAAATCTCTATTAGGAGAAGCCTGGGCGACACTCGACAAATATGCACCCAAAGTTAAATGCCATACAGCCAATGAGAAACGGGCTGTTTTGGGACTTTACCATGCTACGTCACTGTATGGAACTTCGTTGTGCCCATTTCTACTCTTCTTTGCTGGCTGATGTTTATACTAACAAGTTACAGCATCTCCGCTTTGTTCAAACGGGGAACTACCTTTCCTTGGAATAACTATCTTTCACAATGCTGCGAGTCAATAGCTGAGTCTCCTTTAGACTCGGATATGTTTCTGGTGGCACTGGTCAGGATGCAGCGCGTTGCGGATCGTGCCTATAGCATGCTGCCTGGATTTGATGTGGTTGATACTGGATCCAGTGCCTACTTGTCGCCTTTGGACATGGTCATCAACAACGTTCGCCGAGAGCTTTACGAATTCTTCTGCATGCAACCTGAAAGTGTTAAGAATAGACGTGAGTCTGATTTAATATCTGAAGTCATGTTTTGATGTCTGTTGCTGACTAGCTATCATAAAAGACTTATTCAAGGCGTATTATCATGTTACTCTAATGCGCCTCGCCGAACCAGCCATCCCCACGCAATCTCCTGTTACTGTTGAAATGGGCTCTGTGCATCCAGAGCCATTACAACGCTTTGATACCATTTGGAAATGCCTGCTCGCCGGTGTCGACTTCTTCGATGCCCTTTTCGCAATTCACCCCAACGAGTTACCCGGTCTGCCTGCCTCAGTTACAGGACTACTAGCCTTTGCTATTGTAACCAGCTCTCGCCTGCTCCTCTTGGATCCATCTATAGACTGGCAACCCATAATGGCGCGCAGAAAGCTCGATTTTGCGGACGTGACGAAGCGTCTCAGCGAGCGGTTTGAAGAAGCAGACACCTGGGCCAAAGAAGCTGGGCGCAGGCGACGCCTATTAGACGGAGGCGATGCCCAGTTTTGCAGGCTGAGTTTCAAGCTTCGGTGGATACGACAGTGGTATCTATCGCGAATACCCTTGGAGCAGCAGCCGTCAATGTCTGAGGTGCAACAACAGCCTGCGGGCGATTTGCTCCAGGATTCGGATGCTGTGTTTTGGCAGGAGTATGAGTTTGAGGATGCGCTTTGGCCGGAATTTATGACGACTTTTAATACAAATTTCGCGGCAGTACCTATGACCGAGACTTAATTGTTTTAGAGGCACTACGAGATGAGGGAGATAGGTGGTTGTTGTTATTATACAGATACCTGGACATATTTTGTAAAAGGCCCATAGACTACGATTCATCTAAGTCTAATACTAGGTCTTGACATTCATGTAAATGGACAATTGTCACACTCTACTGGGTACTGAACCTGGGAACCTGGAGTTGAGTACAGTCCTTCAATGCACTATATTTGCGGCTCATGTCGAATCATTATAAACGTATGAATAAAGTAATTGTCTTCATAAATAAAATCGCTGTTATAGTAAGTATTTACCGATCCAAACAAAGGAGTGTCCATTATTAGTATTCTGATTCGCGCACACGTGTATACCTTATTAGAAGTGTCTATTCTGTTAAGAACAACGTTTTTCGCTCCTTGAATGATGACTCGATGACTTGAAGCATGTGCTTTTTATTGCCCGACATAACCCCAACATTCTACAAAACAAATCTTGTCATCTTTGCAAATCGGCGATCGACCCCTATCTCGCGATCGTGGCGACAGAATCACTCATCACATATCGAAATCTTCATCGATCGGCGAATCGATATTCACAAAATCACATCAGCCACGAAAGGCATGGACTTTGCCAATCTCCTTCCGCAAAAGGAGATTCAGCCCAACCTAGACGAGACGGTCAATTGAGCGCGTTTCGTGCTGCGGATCCTCTTCTCCACTCCACATGGTCAAGCGAAATAGTGAGTTGCTTGTGCCCTGGGAAGTAACAAGGTACCCTTGAAAGAAGTATTTCCGGGACTTCCAGGATAGAAACAATCAGCTAAAGTCGTCGTCGTCACAATGATGAATAGCGGTGAGGAAGGTATCAATTAATTTCGTTTTATTTTTGCTCTGAGAAGCGGATATCATTTGCTAGAGGTATTCATAGCATTGTCTCAAACGCTCAAAACCGACCCCCGGTCATAACCACATAATAATAAATTCACACTCGCAGCGCCCACGTCTGATGATAGGATTGAAAAAGTAATAAGATAAAAAGTAGTCTTCTTGCGTATTAAAACGAAGAAGAAAAAGAAGGGAAGAGTGAAAGAACAACCATTTCCTAACCTGTATGCTTGTCCCACAATAAAATAATTATTTTCGCTTTAGAAGATGCGATATATAGTCCTAGACTGAATATTGAAATTTTGTGTCCGAGGTATGTGCTTGCGTGCTTAGTTGCTGCCGGCCTCAATAGTGCTGGCCATGTCAAAGGACCGCCTCTCCTTGATGAACTTGGGCCATGTGTTTGTCAGAACCAGGTACTTGATGCTAAGCTCGGCATCGTCAAACACGTTTTCGCTGAACTCGTCCGGGACTTCGCCCCAGTAACGGACAATGTTGAGGGTGCTCTCAGAATCAACGCGATGGGGAGTGTCATCGAAAGGAGTGCAGGGATCGGTGCTGTTGCAGCGCTCGCTGCCGCAGATGACTCGTGCGGCGTGTTCAAACACGGTTTGAAGGCTCTTGAAGTCTGTGGAAGAGAGGTTGATCTGGAACTCGGCGTGGGTTGCGCTGATGAACTCGACGTAGATCTTGAGCGCGCTTTCGAAGCACTCGCGGGGCAGCTCCTTGACAAGACCCTCGTCCTTTTCTGATGATGATTTGCTTGCTGGGAAGTAGGTGGTCTTCCATTCCTTGACGCTTGTGAGGAAAGCAATGTTCTCTCCCGAAAAGTCTCGAAGCGCTGAGAATTGCTGCAGCGGCTCAGGATTCTTGGCCAGAGTGTGCTCGAGGGCCTCCATGGTTAAGATGCTTCCGCTGGAGCTGCTGGTGGTGAGAACAGAGGCTGCTCCGCCCATTCGCCATGAAGTCCTTGTTGAGTCTGAGTTGATGGATTTGTCGGCGCCGCTGAATCCCTTCTTTCGTGACTCCCAGCGGGCGATGGAGTTGAGGGTTTCTTGAGTCAGGCCCTGTTGCTTCACAACTTCAATGACGGGTACAAAGACGGTGAAAATCTCGAGCAGCATAATGGAGACGGCGATCCTATTGAATCAAGTTAGGTACGTGTTAACGCATGAATCTTGAAGAACTTCGGCTTACCATTGCGGAGGAATGAAGTAGTTGTTGACAGGCTCCATTGCAGGAACATACAAAGCTATCAGCCACATGGGAGCAGAGTGAAGACTGTCAAGGATGTTAGTAATTGGCGTAGCATTGCTTGTCAAGATCAACATACTTGGAGATACAGCAGGCAATTGTTTGGAACCTCCATCCTTGCGTGTCGCGGAGTTTACGCGCACGAAAGAGGATGTAAGGAGCAAAGACCCAAGCCCAGAACATTTGCCAAAAGATAGAGGGCCACCACTCCCAGCCACGGCCCTGCTCTGCCTTTCGCTCCATGTTGTTGCCGGTGACTTCAGTTCCAGCGATGCCGAAGGAGTCGTGGAATTTGCGGGAGATGAGAAACATGAAGATGGTGAGGATGGTCTGTATGCCTGGTTAGTCAATTGTTCTGAGAATTGAAGTAGATCTGCTTACATGAAGAGCCATGCCGGTTGCTACCAGGATGAGTGTTCGTCGGTTATAGTCCAGCTGCTTCCATCGGCCCAGAAGGTTTCCACGGGCAACCGGTACTACCGGAGTTTGAGTCTTCTGAATGAACCTTTTCTGAGCATCGGCGACGTAAAGGAATCTGCTGTTGGCGGCGTGAAATAGAGCAATGCCAAAGGGGAACCAGAGGCCCATGATCCAAAACTCGGCGACTTCAGGCATCAACGCGCCATACCAGTAGCCAAGTTGAACGGCAAGCCAGTAGGCATGCATCAGGGTTATTGCTGCAAAGGATAGCGGCAAACCTCTGATCCTCAGAATGGGCATCTCACGTCGAACCCAGAGGAAGCCCATGCCACTGAAGAGGATGACGGTCCAAGTGACGGCAAAGACTATCCAGAAGATGCCCACAGCGCCGAGCCGAAGCTCGGGCTTGGTATCTTTCGTAATACCAAACTCTGAACCCATTGCTATGAAGTTTTCTTCGTTATATTGACAAGGAGAGAAACATGAATCAGAGGTATATGAGACAAGAAAAGATTGACGAGTAGTAATGGGACAATGAGAAATATTGGTAAAAAAAAAAAAAAAGAATCCGCTGAGAAAGAATAATAGATGCTTAGAGTAAAAGGAGCGAACGGCTGTCCAACAAAACAGACCTGTGTGACAAGGAAAGCCAACGGGGGATTTATGTACTCGATAAACCGACGAGGGCTGCCAATGTGAAGGGAGGCAACATGAAAACCTCGTGGCAGGTGGAGAGGAGGTAAGTCATAAATAGGGAAAAGAAACGAAAGGGAAAAAAAGGACCCGTATCGAGATACAGAACTCCTTGTCTCTCCTTGTGTGTGTTCCTGGGCAAGAAAAGCTCCGACACGTGTGGGTGGGAATAGGACCTTTTCTGAACTAAAGTGGCGTCTAACAAACGCCCGTCCTGTATGTTGCTTTTTTCATGCCGATCACGATGAGGATGGGGTATAGCGGCTAAGAATTGCTGGGAAGAAAAAAAAGGAGCCAAGTTGGGCTAGGATCCATCTTCCCCCAGGACACACCAAGAGGTATAGTGAAAAAAAGGCCATATGCCGTTGTGAACGCCTCTTTTTTTCTCTTTTACTTCCATGGGCTGCCGAGTTAAAGCGGGTTTCCCTTTGCAAGGGTGGTGGATAGGGTCTATCGCAAGGTCTAGGGCAGCACTACTATTCGAGGGAGGTCTCGGAGACCGCACAGTTGTAGAGTTGCTCCCTGCGTTTGAGAGTGTTGTTGTGATCTTTTGGTGACCTTTGCGCGAGGTACAATGCGTGTCTATGAAGAAACAGCATTGCCAACGACGATCGTTAGGAACACCATTGGTGATTTCCTTCTGTTTGGTCAAAACTCATGAATCGGTTGTTACGGTTCCTCGCTGGTTTGACTTTGCTGGTCGAGTCTCAACGAGGGCAAGATATCGATCAGCCACCGGTTGTGGGAACTGTGAGACATACAAGGGTGGCCCTCTGTGTCACGCTGCCACGCCCTCGCTTGTCAAAGGACGTTTAGACGTTTACAAGGCAAACAGTACGCTAGCTCGCACGGAAACCATCCTATCCGTCCAGTTGAGAATCACTACGTAGATGGCACTCGAGTTTGCACTACGGCCTTCAAGTTGGCAATTTAAGATTTGATCGTCACGACGGCTTGGACAACCCACTCTTGTAGCGTGCTCCAGCAACGTAGATGAAAGCTGAAAGCCCGGCGGAACTCAGATCCCAGGCCCAGCGTAAAAGAGACTAACTCAACTGCTGTGCCTGGCCTGCTAGAAGACGCCACTAAGCAGGGATCTCCATCTTAGCGCAGGGGCGGAAAGCTGTGAGCAGCCAAGCAAATGCGATGGCGGCGGTGCGACAGAGCGGGCCGTGTGTCTGCTAAGAACCCTTGTCGGTTGTCCAGCTCGAGCACGCTGGAGCTATGCCGCATGAAGTGGTGATGCTGGTTCATCATGGTATCATCGCTTTTAGATGGGCTGGGCATCAAGCCTGGCTGCATGGCATCTATGTAGCCAGCAGGGCGACAAGGTTGATCACGGTCATTTGATCAGAGGCAATAGATGATGGTAATAAATGAGATCGATCACTTTTCTGGGATCACGTCCAGGATAAAGGACAGGGCCTCTTCAGCCTCACTCGTATTAGCATGCTTGCCTGTGTTCATCCGATTTTATCCTGGTATTGCAGCGATGAATGGCGTCTGGTGCCCCTGATCGCGGCGGCGTTTAGCGGATGAAGCTAGGCTTTTACTCTTCTCTCTAATACAAGTTAAATTATATGACATCTTGTTCTTCTTTGGTTTGCCAAGCTGTTTGTTCGTTGGCAAACATATACATAATGGGTGGCTGATAGACTGTATCACTCACTCTGACTCAATTTCCTTCCCGTTTGGAGACATCCAAGTGTGTCTCTTCTCTTCTGTTGTTTTTTTAAACTGAACACGGAGAACACCGCGTGTTTTGTTTACGTTGTGCTCCTCTCTACTTTGTGCTCACTCATCTCCCTACTTCTGATGGGACCCTGTACCGCCCTGCATTCGCCGGTGATGCTCAACCACAAGTGGATGCCCAATCATTTGCTCCTCCCCCAGGGTCTCTCAGATGAGCAAACTGGGTCTGTCACCTTTTTGCTCATTATCTTCTTAATGAGCTTGTCATGTTTTTGGCGTCTGCGATGGTAATCCAAGCAGGGCGTCGCCCGCAACGCCTAATCAATGCCCCCGTGATTTGGACATGACGGCGGCGATTGGCATGGTGGGCCGGCCGACCAGAAGCTGCTGAACGCTGGTGGGGAACTGTTGTGGAGGCGTTGCTGGCTCCATTTTCATCTCATTCAAGCAGTATCCGAGCCGAGGTCGTGACCCTTGATCATCGGGTGGCTGTGGTTGCCGCATAGGCCTTGTCGAGGCTTAGTAGATATTAGCAGTTGGCATGAACTTTGCGGATACAAGCCATTAAACTGTTGGCGGGGAATAATCTGTCTCGGCATCGATTTGCGATAGATACTACCCGTAGATGTAATTTTCCGTCGGGATGCCGATGGTGTCAGAGGTTCTCAGCAGCTCTTTACAGCTTCGCCATTCAATGACAACTCAAGGCTCTACTAGTAGTGCTCGCAGTAGCCAAGGTTACAGTTCATAGTTGCACGGTGACGACTGTATACTGAAATGAACATTTTGTTTCCCATGGTCATACCCCCTTTTACAAAACCGTTTTGCTGTGCAACCAAGTGCTTCTACCAACAACGAGAGGGCAAGTTGGTGCGATCAATAGGCTACGTGGCTTGCCAACTGAGACCGTCTTCCACGCAACCTCAAAAAATTAATCGTGACGCTTGGACGCTGCTGCTGCTTGGTGGCAACGACAGCCACTTCACGATAAGTCATGTTGGGGGCCACGGCAGAGATCTCAGCCGTATGCACGCGGATAGCGCCCCTGGCAACAACAACATGGCAGAATTCGCGGTTAGTCTGTGCTACCAGACCTCAATGATGCTGGATGTTCTCATTTAAACCTCCATCTGCAAATATTCACTAACAGCTTAATGGAAGCCTAACAATATCCACCTTCATTCAATACTAGCACCAACACAGCGCACAGATGCTCAATCGTATCGGGAATCGTGCTTGGAGGCTCTTCCAAAAGGAGCTGCGTCAATTTGCGCTACAGACAAAAGCAAAGTGCGCTCCATGCCCGTGCAAAGAGGCACAGCCGGTGTGCATGCATGCTGTTTAAAGGGAGCCAATAACGCCGTCATATGTGCTGGCTTTTAGGATACATCATTTATCAACTTGAATGCAGCTTCCTAGGCCTATGACTTGGATGCCATCCGTCTCAGTTTCAGCTGCTCTCGAAAGCTCATTGATAGGGCATCGTCACTGAATGACACGGGACAATATGTAAGGGAGCAAGTCGGATATATGGAACTACTTGTACTTCACACTCGTTCTAGCAGACCTGACTTGTAGAATGTCTTGTGTGACAACGCGGAATAGGCCAGTGATAAATTAGCGCCATGCCTAACCAGAAGCTCGTTAATTGCATTACTGCCAACGCATGGTCGTCACAAGCTCCTGACAATTGCGTCCGAATATCGTAGGGATACAGTGACATGTATGAAGCTGAGGAGCTTGTACTACCCGATCCCGAGTATCACTTGAGCGCTTTGGTATACTTTGCCTTCCTTGGGCGTGTACGGAGCCAGCATATTCCATCATGAGAGCTCAACCCGTAACTAGTGGCACTTCAATTCTCCACCATTGGCCGATATAAATACTTATAGAATACATATATACAGATGGTACTTACAGACAAATAAACGCCGCACATATCCAATATGCTTGCGTTTGCAAATACCGCTCAGCGGTGTAATATACTGCTGAGAGGTATAGGCTGCGCTTGCAATGCGGTGCCCTTGACCAGCAGAAGAAAAGGAAAAGAAAGATACAATGATCTCGACTGCTGCTTGCCAATCAACTTCATCCAAAGAATGCAATCTTAGGCACGAGAAGCTTTCGAGACCAACGTCGTCCAACAAGCCGGTAAATCCAAGGCTACACAAGGGTGGACTGTCTCGGCTATACCGCTGGGATAACCCAAGAACCTGTTCGAGCGTGCAAATCGAAAATCCGAGGTGGAGTAGAAGATGTTGTTGGAATGCCTCCTGGCCAACATCAGCCATGCTCACTGTTCACAATGAGGTGTTTGCGGCAGATTTTGACGTAGTAGGTAATGGATTGATGCTAACGAAAAAGAGGTGGGCCAACCAAGTCAGATTTTGGAAAATAGTTGGGGTTCTAGTGGAAAGCTTTTCTCACAGTCAGGTTCAGGCTTCAATTGATGTTTAATTGATATTGTTCATGGCCAGTCTAGTTGGTGGCGAAGTGGATTGATGGTCAGCATTCCAATGTGAAGCTGATTGGGATAACAGCGAAAAACGTAGAGAAAGAGAAGAACGAGAGAAGAAGAAAAGAAGGGATTATTGGTCCTTGACAAAGCCGAATAAATGTTCTCGGTAAGCATATTGCGGAGAAGCGCGCTACTCCGCATCTTTCACTTCACTACTTGAACCTTGGATTATACTCCCATCGTAGTGATAGACATCAAAGATGCGCCCAGCGTTCCTATTTTACACGTCGAAGATAAAACTAAGCCTACCGTGCGGCACTCATCAACTTGCTATTAGGAATTATCTACCTTCGATCAGATGTCAAAAATTATGCTGGTAGCATGCCATCCAGGGTAGCTGGGAAGTTGGCGCTATATTGAAAACATGGGGTAAGTATAAAATAAGCACGGCGACTATGACGGCTCGAATAGTCCAAATCATGTACATGGATGGAATAGTCTATCCGAAATCTAATTTCGCTTATGAATCCGATTGCCTTCATCCACTGCAAATTGCTGCATTTGCCGCTTTCTACTGTAAACATGTACTGCGAGTTATATGGGTGTGTCAATTACACCACAACGTTGCGCATCATTGCCAACATCTTCGAGTAACAAATGAACTAATATAGATAGGGCCATAGAGTATTCATTATAGTATAGATACGCAAGGGAATATCCCCTTTCCAGAGCCCGGTCTGCTTGCCAATACTTCCTACTAGCAGCATACAAACTGAGTACCTATAATAAGCGAGATGCAAACACCACCCCTTCGGGACGCTAGGAGCCGTGGCATATCCTGTTGGTTGCATGCGTCAGATTCGGAAAAGCAATCCCGAGTAAGCTGCGATTCATTGATTGATTGATTCTCACTCTAGCTGCAATCCGCTCAAATGCAATCTGGCATTCCCCGGAGGAGCCCGTCGTAGGCAGGCCATTGTGAGTTGAACCTATCTGATCCATCTCCGCACTTTGTGTACTGTATAGTGCACGCAGCAGCGTAGCAATCAATGAGCTGGCGCCCGCCATACCACCTCATATGCATGCAATACGCATGGGATATGCAGGGTTGGCCAGCTCAAGCCCAATAAGATGGTCCAAAGCCCTGGGCAAAGGCTGTAGCCCTGGTCTCAGCTCTGGGAGGACCAGGCCCTCCTCCTCCTCTCTTCTTTTTCCCTTTCATACATCCATCACTCCCTCTTGTGGCCCTCAAGCCACCAACTCGAGACTCCATCAGCAGCTTCGTTTTCGTTGCCATCACCGGGAACCGACTTCGGCTTCTTGGACCCGGCGGCCATATCCGGCGTCCGCAAACGAGCCTCCGTTGGCACTGTGAATCTATCTGGCTAACATCGATCTTGAAAGGGCCTGTGCTTTTTCCCACAGCCAATTTCGCGATCGCCGCTGTCAAATTCCCCAGGCCCCGCTACTTACCTGTCACTTTCGCAGATCGCGTGATTGGCGTCGCTCTGGAGTCCTCGCTCTCCATCATTCTGGCTGCGCTGCGGGCGCACATTAAACGATTCTACGACGCCACTGTTGCTAGAGCGGCCATGGGCAGTCCGACAGGGAGCAAGAGATCCAGCCGAAGCGACTCTGAGGCCGGGGCTGCTCCCAGGTCAAGCCCCGTTCACAAATCAAGTCCGCCGGGACACTTAGGTGAGAGAGTCTCTTTTTTTATAGCGTAGCCGCTTGTTTTGAAGTCATCGGCTGGATGAGTGCGCCGGCTCGGCGTTTATGCGTCGTCTGTTCCTATTTGACGCTGTGAAACCTTCTGCGGGGGATTCCTCGCCCATCGTATTCGTACTGTGGTTGGGGTGACTGAGTGATTGACAAAAAGGCCTGTTAGACGATCAGAGACACCTGGACGAGGAGCTGACGGCTGAGAATCTGGGCCTCTTACATGGGGATGCCGTCATCGAGCCTGGTGGCAGCGACGAGGATGGCGAGTTCTCGCCCAGTGAATTCGATGCCGAATCACTCAGCAACGTTTCAGATTCCACTTCGCTGAATTCCAGCATCCTGCAGCATAGTTTTGTGAATGGTCGACGATACCATCGCTATCGACATGGCAGATATCCGATCCCGAATGATGATACCGAGCAGAATCGGGAGGATATGCTGCATACGATGATGTTGGAGGCGACAGACGGCAAGCTGTATTATGCTCCAATCGGGGATCATATCCAGAAGATTATCGACTTGGGCACTGGGACGGGCTTATGGGCAATGGACAGTAAGTTTTACTGAAACATGTATCGCTGTCTGCTCTTGACTATGTCGCCACGGATTGGAGCAACAGCATGATGCATTAAAAACAAATAGTGACTCCAGATGACAGTGGGGGACAAGTTTCGAGGCGCCGAAATCCTAGGAATCGATCTGAGTCCCATCCAGCCCCAATGGGTCCCTGCGAACGTCACATTCATCATCGACGATGTGGAGGCCGAGTGGCTCAATGGCGATAACTGGGACTTCGTTCACCTACGCAACATGATACCCGTTATGAAATCACCAGTTGATCTTCTCAAACAAGCATACGAGTAAGTAGTTTGCTCTTTTATGATAAAAAGAGATTTGCTGTGAAATAATGCTGATTATATGTATTTTAGCCATATGAAGCCCGGCGGTTGGGTCGAGCTACAAGACGTAGACGGAGATGTTCATTCCGACGATAATACAGTTCCGGATGACTGGCCGCTGAAGCGATTTACCGAGATTCTGCTTGAGGGATTCGCAAAGTTTGGCACGAATGCTCATGCAGCTGTTTTTGGAGGGCAGTACTTGGAAGAGGCAGGCTTTGTTAATATCCAGCACAACTATATCAAGCTGCCATACGGCACATGGCCAAAAGACAAGTGAGTTTACAACCTGTTTACTGCATTCTGTATATTAGCTTGGCCTAACGAATTACTCTCTTCTAGGGTCATGCGCCTAGTTGGCATGTACTACCGCATCGCCTGCGAGGAATTCTTCCCCGCCGTCGGCGCCATCCATTTCCCCATGCTCGGATGGGAAAAGGACGAAATGGAAATCTTCTTCATGCAGTGTCGCCAGGCTATGCGAGATCCCAAAGTCCACGCGTACGGCAAGATGCATTTTTGGAGCGGTCAAAAACCTCTTAATGCGTGATGCCGACTCGGCTCGATTGAATACGATATCATGGTGCGATTAGATTGACAGCGTCACTGCGGATACACAAGCATAGGGATACCCATAGAAATTATAGAGAAGCGAATTCATATGAGAGAGTGATGTTTTGTTTGGGTATCGTTTAGATTGGCCCTTTGGAATGAGCTTGTGTAGGGAAGGTTAGTATTGGGAGAGCGTTTATGGGTAATGTTAGACTATATAGTAAAATAATCATGCCGCGGAAAGCTTTGGGGCTTGGTAATGTTCTTTTTTCTTGCCAACCTATATTTGATACAGACATAGCTATACGACATGACTTAATGCAAAAATTAGTGGGACGCCATCTTGAAACAGACGGCAGTTCCCCCCTACTCTATTTTCATGAGAATATGGCTCCCATATACATGTAACCGCAAAGCGCTTTACCGTCGTCCCTTCTTATTCTTCTTCCCACTTGGTCTATCCTCCTCCTCTCCGCCAACAGCCATCTTCCTCTTCTTCCTACCCTCCTCCAGCAGCTTCTTCATCCCCTCAGTAGCCTTGAACTTGGGGTTCGAAGGATCAATAGCAAACTCATGGCTGTCAAACACAGCCTTGAAACGATCGTCCTTGACGTCCATCTTGAAGTCTTCCTGCAGTCCCACCTCCACCTTGGTCTTCTTCTGATACTTCTTCTTCTTGCCCTTCTGCTTCTCCGCCTTCACAATCTCATTCATGTCGAAGTGATCGAGATGATCCACCTGGTTTTCCTGTGCGTCTTCAGCCATGACCTTGGTGAGATGGGCCTTTTCTTCGGCGTCGCGCGCTTCGGCAGCTTCACGAGCCTTGCGCTTCTTCAAGCGCTCTTCCTTGCGAATAGAGGTCTTGGATGCAGGCGCGGGGTCGTCGGTGGTGAAGAAGGGGTCGTTGAAGCCAAGATCTTCATCGTCATCCTCGTCGTCGCCCTGAGCAATTTGGACGCCACCATCATCGTCGTCCTCATCATCCTCATCAAGAGCCTCGCGCTTGGCCTTGGCGGCTTGTCGCTTCTTCTCTTTCCTCTCTCGCTCTTTGCGGGCGTACTTTTCGATTGTTGTTTCTTCTTTCTCATCCTTTTTAGTCTTCTCACCTGATAGAGCTGGCGTGAAGGTAACTTCCATCCCGCCGACGGGGCCATCATTGGACTTTTTGGACTCTGGCTCAGATGCAAGACCGAGAGCTTCGCGCATCTTTTGTCGAGCCAGCTCCTTTTTGGTCAACTTGGGCTCACCATCAGCGGGCTCGGTGATACCATCGGCATCATCTTCATCCTCCTCGCTATCGCTGTCTCCAGCGAGATAAGCTTTCAAATCTTGCTCGTCAATCTCGGCTCGGCTCCCTTTGAACGCTCTCTTGATGGATTCTTTGCGGTTCATGTCCTCGGGTCGCGTGTCCCAAGTGAGCTTTACCTTTGAGCTTTGCAGCGCATTGGTGACAAACTCAATGGGCTTATACGACTCGGGGACCTTGTCGCATTGATCTCTGGGTTCATCGTCAAATGTGACATCGTCTGGAACAAATCGTAGGTCGATGAAGTTGGAAGAAGACTGATACTCGGTTCCATCGGTTGCCTCGTAGATGGCTTGTGCAGCGCTTTTACTTGAGCAAGTCATGACAGCATAGTAGTATCGTAACCTGTCAAGCTGATATGCTCTCAAAGCATCACTATCGAAATCTTGATCGTCACCCTCTTGGAGCAGCTGCTTCTTGATTGCAGCCTCTTCGGCCTCGCTGTCAGACGCACTTTCGTCCTCTACTTCTTCCTTTTTCTTCCCCTTCTTGAAGATTTCCCTGGCCGGTCCCTCGAGCTCTTCTCTTTGCATGCGCTCCTTTCCAAATTCACTTGGGTATATTGATACGTTTAGAACTTTGCCGCTCTCGTTGGCGGGAATGAAGCTGGTGAACAAAGCCATCAGATCGGTTGATTTGACGTGGTCCCAGTCGAGGTTGACAATGGCTATCCGGTTCGTGACATCGCCGGTTTCGACTTCCTCTCGTTCTAATCGCTGCATATCGCCACCAGTAGCAAGATCCAGCTCTTCATCGGACTCTTCATCGGAGTCTGAGTCCTCTTCAGAAGATGAAAAACCTCCCTCTCGAGCAGGATCATATCTGCGAGGTCTCCCCGCAGCTTGCAGCTCTCTTTGCACAACGTCATCATCTTCAACTTCAATATCCTCTTCCTCGTCCTCTTCGCTATCATCTTCGTTGTCTTCGTCGTCTTTCTTTGACTTGTCAGCTTCTTCTTCGTCAGAGCTGCCTTCCTTCTCCTTCTCCTCATCGTCATCCAGCTGATAAAGTCTCTGCAGGGCCTTCTTCTTGGCGTCGGATTTGATTTTTCGTCCGTATTTATCTACTCGCGCAGTGGCCGTGAAGTCATTGTCCTTGAGCATGCCCGCAAATCGCTTGTCGACGGTCGTCTTCATGTGCTTTCTCGACGGCAGCCGGAATCGAGGATCAGTCTGGAAGCTGGCGAATCGCTCGTCAGCGATTTTCGCCTGAGGAGCTGCGCCTCCATTTTTCTTTTTGTCTTTTCGCTTGTCCATATTGGCGGTGTTGGCGCTGTGTATAAGATGATTACTTCTCTGAATCGCAGTTGAAGTACTGGTGATGCCTATCGCAACTTTTTCTTGAATTGAAACTTTTTGGCAGGGATATGGTTATCAGCTTATCGCATTTAGACCAATCAAGTCGCGTTAACCCAATTTGGCTTTACCAAAGAAAAATGGGGCATGGCCACCAATGCTAAACAGTCATTGGGCAGGGCACATTTTCTTCAAAGAAGAAGCAAACAAATCAACTCAATTGGTAGAGTACCTAAAGATGTATAGATTCAAAGTTGTTTTCGCTTGTGATAGCTATATAATATTAATTGATAGATCTTTAATGAGAGCGTCTAATATTTTTCATTTCTGTATTCAGCGAGATGCAATTCTTAGACGTCTGAGTAGCGGGCTGTTTCAGTCAACAACTGTCAGGGGCTCAAGATCAACTCGTTCTCTATGCTCAGCACCACCAACGCAGAAACAAAACGCACTTCAGAAAAAATTCGGAACTGCTCCGAAAGCAGAAACCCAAACTATGGACTTCGGACCTCCTCTTTGAAAGGAGTACGCGCGCGGCCTTATATGGGCGGCCGAACTACTTGTATGTGCGCTAAACGACTTACACGTTTAGGCGAGTTTCTACGGCGCCCCACCAACGTCGCGTAGACTCGATGCCAATGGAAGACTGTTTTGTCTTTTCAGCCTCTTTAAAATAAACATAACAATAGAAATGAAATAAACTTTCCCCCGTATTTGGCTTTGTCAGCCAATGATAGTATGTTCTACTGCTTCTTAGATGCTGAAACTCAAACAGACCCCATCTCCATATCCCCCTTGTTGCAAGAAAAAGCCAAGTGCAAGACACACAGAAACAGCGTCAAACGAGGCAAAAACCCAACAACTAGGTGTAAGTTGAGCCTTGCAAAATAGAAACAAAGCTTTTCTACCCAACATGGCATGTCTGTTGTAGCATTCTAGACAGCCCCTGCACATAACCCCCAAGAGCCCCAGAATCAATGCCAAGGGCTACGTAATGCATCCCTGCTTAGGCAGTATGCTAAATTCTCCCGCGGCCAAGCTTTGCGGGCAGGAGATTTCGGATCGAATCCTTTTAGGTCTAGGTGTATACGTACGCAAATTCTCTGCTGCTTTAGCTGATGGGGCCAATGAAGGCATGACCTATTGGTCCGTTCATTGAATTCAGCTTCCAATTGGTGGGAGTCCGCAACAATATGCGCCCTGCTTGTTGCGGGCATGGAAAATATTCTCACAGCGGGCTGGGCCTGCGTCCCATGATAAAATCCGTGACTATATCCATCTGAAACATCACAGCCTCATATGCAAGGTCTAATAGCATCCAATTGCAAGGAAAGGTAGTGTATGAATGACATGCGTGTCTAATAATCATGAGAGGAGATGCAAGTTCTTTGTATAACTGACAAGCTGTATTGAGAGTAAATTATGGGTAGTGGCGAGGATTAACATAGAAGAACAACTTTGAAAATTCTCAGCTAACCTGTGTAACAAAGAATAGATCATAGCAAACAAAATTAAATGATAGTCTACCAGTAGAGAATAGAGCAAACAACAAAACATGTTGAGTGCAAAATCTCCCAATACCCATCAACTTTGGGTCATATTTGGCCGAAAACGTTGCGTCAGATCATCACCAGAGGTGCCCCTTTTGAAAACTTCACTCCTTTGAAAGAGGGGACAAAGATTCTGAAGACATGCTGGCATTGGCTGGAGCATTTTTTGAAGCCTCGTATCAATTAGCGCCAATGCAGCGTATCCCCTTCTATTACCAATTCCTGTCATAAAGAGCGTGTTGTACGCGTCATCACCATGAAGAGATTGTAAGCTAAAAATAGACTGGGCATAGAGCTGAGCAGCCTCGTGCTTCCGAATATGACAACTAGTCACGGAGTAAGTGACTCTATTATTCTGTTGACGATGTTTTCCTCTTGAAAAGAATTGTCTGCGTTCTTTATTACAACTATCTTTGTTAAACGATCGGTATACTACATGCTACGACTATGTTAGTCTCCTTGCGAAGAGTTGCGCTTGTTACGTACGCCGTTATTATTCTTATTGTTATTACAACATACGAAGTTTTCTGGGAAAAGCGTGGTGCTTTCCCTACCAGCTTTCTAAATGCTTTCAGTAACTCGACCTTCCACAGTGACTCTCCGGGTATAAAATCGCCTGTATCCGTTGTACCGGCCACAGACTCTCCATTACCTTCGACAACGGATTTGACAACGGAGCAGAAGGCCTCACGATTTGCCTACGCACAATACGCTACTAATTTAGACTATCTATGCAATACCGTGTGTACCTGCGTCAGCGTAAATTGCAATGCCAAGAACTAAAAATTGGGTCATAGGTTATCAACTTCAATCGCCTGAAGGGGTACGGTATCCAGCATGACATGGTCCTTATCTATCCGCAAACTTGGGATGATGAGGTAGGGTATCTATGGTGAAGAGTTAAACTTGGCTGCTAACTAGTCATCATTTAGAAAGCAAAAAGTCGAGAAGCCAAGGCTATTCGAAGCCTTCGATCCAGCCATCCCGATATCGTTCTTCGTCCCTTTAATGTCCTCTCTACAGAAAAGGGAGACTCGACTTGGCGCGATAGCCTCACTAAATTCCACGCCTTTGCTTTAACTGATTATACCAGAGTCCTGGCATTTGATTCAGACTCTCTCGTTCTCAACAATATGGACTCTCTCTTTCTTGCCCCTGATTCGCCTGTCGCCTTACCGCGCGCGTATTGGCTTACAGAAAGGCATAACGGAACTGTAACGCAGATCCTAGGATCGCACCTCATGCTAATCGAGCCTAATACTCACCTGTACGAGAAAATTGTTGGCGAGGCTACGCGGAGTGGCGAGTTCGATATGGAAGTAATGAATGAGCTGTTCAAAGACTCTGCCATGATACTTCCCCATCGACGCATAGCTCTGCTAACAGGCGAGTTCCGAGCAAAAGAGCATCGCAAATACCTCGCCCCTGATGAAGATGAAGAATGGAATCCGATTAATGAACTAAAGATGGCCTTTCTCGTGCACTTTAGTGACTGGCCCTTACCAAAGCCATGGAAGTCCCACTCCGAGGCGCAATGGGAGGCAGCGTTGCCTGAATGTCTGGACAACGACAAAGGCATGCCGGGTCTACCGCGATGTGCCGACCGGGTGGTATGGACCGGAGTATATTCAGACTACGACCGCGATAAAGCAGCATACTGTCAGATTCTCGGCGTATAAATGCTTACGGTCGAATAAGATTAAGCAGAGCATGGGTTCTAGCCACAGGGCTAATTAGATATAATTGCATGTCCTCTTGTATATCGATGACAGTTAAGTACATATTAATGTTAAAACTAATTGAATTCTCTTCAGTACTTTCAAGTTCTTTTATTAAAACATGGTGTGTAGTCACCAATAACAGTTGAATAGATTCTCAAAGTTTAGCCCAAAAAGGCATTGTCTATTTTTAGAGTCGTGGATTTATTGATTACCTATGTACCTTACTTGTCGTCGCTTAAGCCGTTTCAGGCCGCTAATGTAAGCAGCCGGCGACAAATTAATCATACCTTTCCTGCGTGAATTCGGCAAGGTGAATGAACGTGAACCTTCACATCCCGTTTTGCCAATAACAGAGCTATACAGACGCCATGGGCTCTTGGGATAGCTATTGTGCCATATGTGGTGGACCGTTTGATAGATTGACTGTGGCGCAAAAGCCACGCAGCGAGCGATTCCTTCGCCGTCACGGTCTTAGCCAATCGCAGTCGTCCAGCTCAGCGCAAGCAAATCACTCTACGGAAGACGGCAATGAAGATACAACAGCCGAGACAAGCGATGATGAGGCGGCTGGTGAAGCACCCCTTGGAACGATGACACAGGAGGATGCGAGGGAAGATGGCTCATACGACTGCGATGTTGTAACCTCAAGAGAGGTTGCCTGGGTGAGAGATCTTCACATCTTAATGACCAATGAGAATCTAGACACAGGAGAAAGGGTGTAAGTAGAAGCGCAAATGTCTACCCATCTTAATCTCTGAATCTCCAAGAAAGGCTGACCTTTGCAGTGCCTGTGTTTCAGGCGTCGGCGAATTCCACGATAACACCCAGGCCAGCGTCGATGACGGCGACGACCCCAACTGGGACCCAGAGGCTGAGATAGTCCTCTATGACGGTAGCTTTCCGTTCCACTGGCCCTGTTATGAGATTCTCGGCACGGTTCTCGAGGGCAAAGCTGGAATCGCTGGCTTGAACAAATTGAATCTCTATAACACTATGTTGCATGCCAGCGGTGTGTGTTGTAGTCGCCTAGAAAGTCTCGATTACGGCGACCCTGGCCCACATAATGAACAGTGGTGGGCATATGAACCGGGGACAGAATTTCTCGTCGTTCATCCAACGATTTCACTGGAGAAAACTACTGCATTGATACGAGAGCGATGGATGAGGAGTACTCAAGTGGTGAGTCCTTCTGATCGCGTGCGTCGCATCAGTGCAGATAGTTTTCAGAAACTCCCGCTGGAGTTGTTGCTCAAGACATGCAACATGTTGGGTCCCCAATCTCTATACCAACTGGCCTTGGCATCACCGACCGTCGATGCTTTGTTGGGAGACAAGCCGTTCTGGGGACAGTATCTCTCAATTCATATGCCCTGGAGCTATGAGCTACTGTCATTACTCGATGACGAGTCGCAAACCTCTTTCCAGAATGCAGACTTCAAGTCTCTCGTCCGGTGGGTGGACCAAGAGTCGACCCCACGACATTGGATGCGCGGTCCATTTATGAGCATTGCCAATCGTCGACGCATATGGCACGTCTGCGAACAGTTGAAGCCAGTCTATTCGGGCCGTGATGCACGATTTCCGTTGACGGTATTCCAGAAAAGACGAGTTAATCTGAGAAGGGCGCGAATGGGCATGCCTCTTCTGCCATGATGAAGAAACGCGCAATCTTTCCGATGAAAGATGTAGGCAGTAGGTCAAGGTCAATTAGTGGATCATAGTCACACAATGTATTTTTCTTCTATCCATCGCCCTGTCATAATATCCATCTATTCTAGTCAATGTGTGTAGCTCACGACTAGCGAGAGACGCAAATGTAATCAACTGCCTTTATGTGAATACGTATTACGTCTTGTTATCCCTTTGTGACATGATCGGCACGAGGTTTGGATCCAATCATCACCAATAAGATGAACGATATGCAAGAAGATCAAATGAGGAGGCGGATACTGCGTTGTGATGTCTCACAAGCACCCGTGCGTGTTGCACTAGTACCACTACAATCATCCCACGTCTCGCTGCTATTACAGAGTACCCATGATTTCAAGTAGCACTGCCGAATCATCAATGGCCACCTGTAGCGGTAAGACAAAAGGTTCTGTATGTTCGTCTTGACTCCTGTATGTTGTCGGCACTTTCATGTAAGGAGCCGTTTCAGCCACCAGGATTCAAGACATCAGACTGTGTCTGGCTGACCTCGCATTAGTCTTGTCTGTAAAACATACCTTGAGGTCCAACCCAAAAAAGAAAAGAAACAGAAAAAAGAAAAGATAGCCACAAATTTGGCAATTATGAAATATCGAACATCGTGAGTCTATATCCCCAATCTGTAAAGCTGGCGTTGAGTTGCCAAGTAGCAAGTCACCACTCACAATAGGCGATCTTTTACTTTTCTTTTTTTCCTTCTTTATTCCTTTTTTTTTTTTTTTTGGGTCCATGAAAAAGCCTTTGAAATAAGCATAAGCCGATCTTCCGGTGGATCGACGGATGGAATGGCCGAAGATCCTATGAATCCTTCTACTGACGGCTGCATCTCCGAAACTCAAGGTGGGATCTATATTGGCTGAGACATGTGGGGTTAAATGAAGCGATGACTTGATGGCTGACTGGATGACCGGAGTCTCGATCGGTTGGAAAGATTCACATTACCAAAATTTTGAGAATCATTAGGATTAGACATTTCGTTTCCCCCTTTTATGTAATGCATGTGTTACAACCATCAGGCCGAAACATGTCTGGGTCGATGCCTGTGGAATTGAAATATATAAAGCAGCCAATCTCCCAGGAAAATGAAAGAAATCATCAGCACAAATCCAGTCCATTCTTCCTTCACTGATATTCCAACTCCAATTTTCTACTTTTTTTTTTACAAGATTCATCAAGTTATTCACCATGGTGCGACTTACGATTCTCCCTCTTGCGATTCTCGCCGGCCTTTCTTCTTTCGCTGCTGCGAATAACTGCAAGGTCAACCTCAAATATTGCGGAGCTACTCTCCTACGTATTGGTGTGTAACTACAAAGGTGATAACTCTTAAGCTAAATATTCTTTACTAAAGAATGAATAGGAAATTATGATGAACAGATTCGTGAGGCACTTAGAGCCGCGCACCAGTCAACAAACGGTGACCATATTGAAAGGTCCCTGTTCTTTTGCTCTGGGGGTCCTAACGGGGAGATTGAATACCTTCAATTTTGTGGCAACCGATGTGTCGATGGCGGTGCGAACCACAACGACTACTGCTATTGATAAAGCTTTGTTTATTAAAGGCTCTCTCTTGGCGGCTCTGTACTTAACCGCAGCCACCCGTTCAACTACAAAACTATTTCTAGGTTTTAGTTACTTTATTGTGGCATGAGCAATCAGATCAAAGTTTGTTAACAGCTTCTCTTTTCATTTTAACTAACTGAAGCCAATCGCAAACAAACTATTCTGCAAGTTATCCAACTGTGTATGCATCTATCTATATCTCTGTATCTTATCTACGCTCATCAAACGAGACGCTGCCCGGCTCAGCAGGCAGACCCCTTAGAATTCGTTTTGACTGCAACGAGCTGTCCACCAATGACGGTATTTCCATTCACCGGGGTTTCCATCCCACCAGCAGTGACAACATAGAGGACATGCTTGTCATGTGGGCCTCTGCCAAACGCACAAGACGTTGGCTCTGCAATGGCAGTAGAATTAAGGTTACCAGCGATATAAACTTGAGTTTTGCCGTCAGCCGAAATCATCTCAATGGTGTTTCCACCTCCTGTGACCACAAATGCATTGCCGTCGCAATCAAAGGTAAAATCATCATATTGGTCCAGTGGCCCCTTGGTATTTGCAATTGTGGTGACGGGTCCTGCGGGCGTTCCATTCTCGTTGATAAGCACCTTGTTAAAAGTACCATTTCCAAAATTTGTAAAGTAAGCGAAATCGCCGCGGACATGGACACCATCGACACCAGAGGCTGAAAATGGAGGCGACGAGTAAAGCGCAGTGAAAGTATTGTTAATAGCGACCTCGTAATTTCCAGTCTTGATGTCCAGACTCCAGATAAGGCCTCCATTGACATCGCTTATAAGAAGTGTTTGGTCGCGTTCGGATAGCACTGTCAAGCCGTTGAGAAAATGAGCCGGTTTGACGTGTGCAATCTTCTTCACCACAGGCGGCGCGGAGAGTTTTGCTTGGCCATTTTCAGTGGTAATTTTAACACCTCGCAGATCAACGCTCCAAACCTTCCAAGTGCCGACGACTTGAACTGTGCTTGTGAATGAGTAATTGCCGGAGATGACAGCAAATACATCAGGCTGGTACTCTGCAATGCCCGCCAACCCAAGAGATTCATCAAAATCATGGAGGAGGATAGGTGTGTTTGGTCCGGCCACTGAAGGATCAAAGAGAAAAAGCTCCGATTTGCTTAGATCCGTCATGAGAATCTGGCCATTGCTTCGCACACCTATATTCTCAATATACGAGTTTTTAGGGAACTCATAGAGAGTGCGGACCGAGTCAAGAGATGGCGCTGTAGCTATGGAAGTGCCACAGAGAGCGAGTAAAGAGACCGCGAATCGTATGGCCATGGTGACAGTGACAAAAGTAAAAGAGTTTCAGGAGAGAGGATTTATGATTATTGCTACTTTCGCTGGTTTAGATACCAATAGAGTCTCACATAATTTATAATTCTTCAATACCCCCGTTGTTGGGGTATATTCAATCTACCCCAAGTCCGTTCGTGGAGGTTGGGGTCAAAATACTTGCAACTACTATTACTACTAATCAACTACCCAAAATTTGTCAGGATTCGCCAGGGGGCTTTTTGAAAGAACAGTATTAAAGGAAAGGGGTGCCGATCGCTGTGGGTTTATTTCTGTTAATGCGCTCGCGTCTCCGGCGGCGATAGCTTTCGGCTTTCGATATGCGCCTCATCGGAGCTGCCTTGCCCTGTGAGAAAAGGTGTAATACTATTGGTCCAAGCGTCTTCTGCATAGGTATGTTTCCTGTTTTCCATTGGAACATGACTATATGCTGCATGACACCAGAGAAGTATGCAGCATGTTGGTAGCTGCACTTGTAAGCAATGCGAATTCCTCTTCCGCTTTTAACTTGTAGATCAACTGTTCAGTCATGTACGTGGTAAATCAGGTATATAATGATGCATGCACATAGCTATGCAGTGAGCCAGGCCTGCGTTCAGCGTTGGCTCAATGGGCATAAGCGCAGCGATGTAACGTCTTTGTTCATAGACGAGGCGTTAACCCGTTTCTATAAGTTAAAGTCCGAATGATCCTGCTGGATATCTGCATTTAACTCCGACAGCAGAAAGGCTCAAGTTGGCAAATGAACAAACATTGTATACAAATACATGGGCAAAACGACTTTGATTGTGCATTGAATGTTCCAAAGCTTGAAATTGAGCGAATGGTCTCGTCATCATGAAAAGATTCCTCTCCGAGGGCATCGCTGCATCATCTCCTACGCATCCTCCAAGCACCTATTGCTTCTGCCCATGTAGGCATAAATCGTCGAGCTTTTACTGAATAACATTAAGTGTTTCCATGCTCCCTAGGCTCCCAGTGACATCCTCACTAGCAAGTTCTGGGCTGCTTCTTGATTCTAAGTTGCATCCATTTTGTTTACCCTGCGCGTGGCGTCTGTAATTGAAGTGCATCTGGAGAAAATGAATGCCATTTTGATCGCATGGGCCACGCGCAAAGACAGCCCTTATTAGTAGCGACAGATATATGATGGAGAAGAAAAAAAAAGAAAGTATCTGAGAAAAAGACAAAAAATAACATAGACTGACGAGTGTGGGATTCGAACCCACGCCTCTTGCGAGATGCGAAATCCTGTTTAAGGATCAAGATATTATCTTGAGTCGCACGTGTTAGACCACTCCACCAACTCGCCTTAGCGTCTTTGTTGGAGACCACCGAACGAATTCAATTATAAGAAGGCTCCATCAGCTTCTCCCCCAACGTCGCTGTTTGGCATTATCGTTGCATTTTATAGCTGGTGGTTCACCTATGCATAAAGAAGACAACACGGAGTCTCTATCGTATAAAGCTGAATATGGAAACACTATATGTAACTATATCTAGAGGGCTTGGTTATTTGACCGTATGCGGCCAAGAACTTTATACAATCATCTATACCTAGGAGTAAGTTCACGCTAGCTGCTTAGTTAGTCTCAATGCCCAAGGTTATAATGAAGTGTTATTATATGTCTTTAAGTTGATCATATTGTTACCAGTATAGCTCTTCTATGTTCAATTAAAACTACAATTATGCTCTTCGCTTTTAAGTCAACTAAATCATCTATATCACTGCAAAGTCTAACACTCAACAGACGCTTATACGGAAGCTTCTTACCGACTAAACTTGAGAATTCATACATCGAGAGTGATGGCAACTCTCGTCTTGTCTTGCATAATCTGGGTTGACTCATGCATCTGTTGCCGAGTAACAAGTCGTTTCATCTCCTCTTTGCCCTCGCCATAGCTATCCACTATTCTTGTGGTCAACTGCGCCTTGACTACTCCAGCACCCATCTCGCGGGTTTGCCCAAACAAAATCGTCGACTTCCAGCAACGCGGCTCAATCTCTGCCTCTTGACGCCAAGCAAACTCTCTTGCAATGTGCGTCTCTGTCGTTGCGCTCATTGGGCCTTTGATAGTGTATCTATCGATATGCATAGCAAGAACGAGACACACCTCCCAAATAGTCCAGACGTATTGGATGAGCAGGGGCATCCACAAGACCGAGCATAGCAGCGCGACGGGGAAATAGAGGCCGAATGCAACTACAATTGCGATCTGGATAACTTCGCGGATCCGATTTCGCACTGGGTGGCCATAATGCCGAAAGAATTGGTTCACTACGCTTGGAGGCCCAGTGATCATCATCAACCGGCCCTCAATGGGAGGGCAATCGATTTCCCAGTTTCGATGCTGCTCTCCTTCATCTGAGCTTGAGAGGTTGTCGAGCGGCTCTCGATGAACTGCAAAAACGACGGCGAGGATGCGCAGGGCGAATGGTATCAGGAATAAGACGGCCCACGATGTTCGTTTCACAACGCCAAGTCCAATCGCAATTCCGATGCCGCTTATCTCGCTTATGATGCTGGTTATGAAGCCGTAGAGAGACACATTGCCTGTATGCTCTTGAACGAATGGCATACTGTGGTTAGACAAGTCTTCAACCATGGCCTTTGTCAGAACGAGGTGTGTCACTGCAATTCTTGCTCGCACTGGGGTTTTCTTCTCCCCAACTTTGCCTTCCTCTGCAGCGCAAGTTAGAGAGCCACTCGATGTGCGCACAGAAGATACATCTGGGAGCTGTAGGTTGAGTAACGCGCGCACCCAAATGCAGCTTCTGGCCTGTGAGCTTCGGCTAGGCTCATTGTTTGACGCGTGTAATTGTATCGTCCATCCAATATCGGGATAGAATGCCGAGCCCAGCATATGACCCTGTTGACGGCCCGCCAGAATGCCATTCTTGTAGGCGCTGTCGATAACCTCAAGGGCTGTGGCACTCAGTGGTCCACCCATGGAATAGAGCGCTGCGAGCTTGATGAGGCTCTCTGGTTGGGGGCTTGACAGATAGCGCTGAGGCCATAATAGGCGCTCGAAGATGGTTTTTGTGGCAGCCTCACCGCCGAGATAGCCCAAAACAGCGTTGAAGCCGCCTAAAACATTGTTATCGCCGGACATTTTATCCCTGTCGTGCGCTGAGTTGGATCTGCGGCTGCGTATCGTTCACTCCTCTTACGACACCCAGTTGGAAATTTTTTTACAATACCACAGAAAGTGTTATTGATACCAGAATCTCCGTGGCTAGAAGTTTGAAGCGATTGCTAGTTTTAGTCATTCGCCGCCTCACGCAGAAAGCGGCGGAGACGTAAGGCTGCATTCTTGATCCTTCGAAAACCTGCTGACGGGTCTGGTGCTGCAAATACCCCGTAACCCTGCATATTGTCCAAAGGCGGGGATCCATGTGGTATACAGTTTCAGGCAGCCAGCCAGTGATTCGCTCGTTTGCTAAAGTGGCCTGTTTACCTGAAATCCTCGAAGCATTTAGCTCACACCATTACAGGTAATACAAGCCCTGACCGTCTGTTTAACTGGCAGATGTCTATATTAAGCATCAAACTGTACTAGCACGCCTGCACAAGATCCTACGAGACATGGGGTCGCCTCGTATCTCCTGGGACGATAGGGTATGAAACCCTCATATCATCTAGGCTTGTTATGTATAAGATAAGAGACGGTTACGAGTCGCAAGCCATATTGTCGCTGTCGGATACTTCAAGAATTAACAGCTATATCCCAACACATTGATACGTACTGACACTTTCAACCAACTCTTTGCGAACCCAAGCTTGTTGCCGAAAACATGGAGTCGCTAGATTTCACAGATCCGATGGCGGTTGAAGCTGAGCTTAGAAAGACGATCGAATTTCTTAAAGGTTCAGGCTTTTCCATGGCTTTGAGCGCTGAATTTCAGTTCTCCCCCGACTACGATCAAGTCTGGAACAGCGAATGGGCCAAATACGACAAACTAGAGAAGGCTCGCAAAGACTGTGGCATTGAGAGGCTGGAATGGCAAAATGAGCTTGATGAATACAGAGACAGCGCTCAAACAGAGAGGCGCGAGACTAGTTCGGATGATTCGATCGACTCGAGAAGCAAAAATTCCTTGATCAGCTATTTATTCGCTTTTAGTATGGAACAGTATGGCGAGGCACCGACGATCAATAGGCTCCAAGGCTGGAAGACGGCCATATCGAGCTGGAGGCTGTTTCGCGAGAAATACAACTCAGATGATAAAAGTTTTCGCCTGTATCTTTCCGATGCACAACGTGCCTCTTACTTTTTGCTGGACGACTGGTGGCATTCTCGATACTGCAGCACTGGAGACATGGCTTCTTTCAAAAACTCGCTTGATGAGCTATTTTCCATAACTTCCACGTCACCGCCGACAAGTACGAGCTTTCCATACACTTGGAAGTATAACTCGCTGTATCATAAGTTGTGTCTCGAGCTGTTTATGAGGGAGTTCCACCCCATGGAATGGGAGCCATTCAACCCACACAGTTTCCTGGCTGGTCTGATGAGCTCTCGGAAGAAGGCTACTAAAGAGGCCATATCAATGCGTTTTGCGTATTTTGCTTTGCAGGAAAAGTTGGAACCAAGCCACTCTGGCTCCTTTCCTGTATACCCACGATACGCGAGAGACAAACAGCTCTGGCGTGAGAACGAATATTTTAACGAACCTGCGAAAGATGGCATAGCAAGAGAAATTTGGAAACTGGTTGATCAGAATTCGCCCGACCCAAGATACCTCTGGGACGTAAAGGCCAAAAAGACGATCCGAGTTGATCAGCATCATCCTGAGTATGTCTGCATCAGCCACACTTGGGGCCGATGGACTGTCAAGCCGCCTTCTCATATCAGTATCCCAGGAGTACCTTGGAAAGTCCTCGAGAACACTTTGTATGATATCCAAGATCTACCCAACATGCTCCTCAAATTGAACCACGACTTCATCTGGCTTGATCTTTTTTGCCTACCGCAGGACGATTCGCCCGAGCATCGAGCGGAAGTTGCCAATCAAACAGCCATATTTCATCGAGCAAAGAAGTGTATCGCTTGGCTCAACGATGTAGAGACCTGGGATGGAACGAAGGCTGCCATAGATTACTTGGGTATGAAGTATTTGCGCACATCAGCCACTGACCCAGAGCTCGCAGTCAGTGATAAGCGCTTGAAGTCTAGTATTGCCACGGCGGCGGACAAGCATTTGGAACTGATGAAGGCAAGTGACGAGCCTTCGACTTGGTTCTCGTCTTTATGGACCCTTCAAGAAGCTGCCTTGTGCCCTGACTTACAACTTTGCACGAGAAGCATGGAACTGCTGTTGGATAACACTGGCACTCCAATAAGTCTTTCAACTTTGATGGCCATTCTCTCTCTCCTCAGGGCTCCGAACAGGAGCAAAATGGCAGAGTTTCCTTCCGATCCACCTTTTGATATCGTTCCTGAGTGCGTGTCAAAGCTTTTTCTCTTGGGAAAGATGACAAAATTGGAGTGGCTGCTGGAACATTTAACGCCGATGGATATCATGGTCACATCGAACACGCGCACTTGCAAACGTTCTCGAGCCGTTGCAATCATGAATGCTCTTGGTGTTTTGGACTGGTACAAGACAGACCCTGAGGGCGGCAAACTTGGTACGGGCGGCAAGGAAGAGAACCTTGTTTTGGATACATTTCCCATTGAGTTTGTCAGGGAAGCCGCACGCAAATACGGAGCTGTGTTCTACACGGCAGTCAAATCCGTAAACTCTTACAGAGTTAAGACACACGAAGGGCTCTGGGGGTTTCCAGATGTTCATATTGGAAGCATGATGCCTTTTTCCGAAACCCACGGATGGTATACATCCGTGATGAATGCTGTGACAGTGCCAACAATACAGAAGAAGGACCATGAAGCAGTTGCTAGCTGGCACATTAACGAAAATGGGAGCGTGAGAATACGATCTGCAGGCATAGTCTCCTGCTCAAGCAATTCCGCCAACAAGCCCCCAATCAAATCCTTTGTCGCCACCATGGAAGGACGCGAAAGGTTGACAATTGTGCAAAATAAAACGGCCCACAATGACTTACATGCTTCGCTTCGGGAGTTGGCTGGGGATACAATGGTATTTTATGCGGTTGTACTGCAGGAAGACTATGGAAAGAAGTCGGGTATCTTGCTTCAGGCGCCCAGGACGAGAATTCCAAAACCTGGTAAGAGGTGGCTGATCAAAGCAGGCTTTTTCAACACGCTCGAATCATCTTCGCCGACGCCATCCACAGCTGTTAATTGGTGCGTTGCGTGAAGAGAGAGTGAAAGTCAGGAAGGCAGCTTGCATTACACGTCAATTAAGATATATAGTCTATGGAAGAGTCTTCGATGCGACCATTTTGCGTCTATGAAAGAAAGATATTATCTATCAAGATATATTTGCCAGTTCATATAGACAAATATACTCGATCTAGTGGAAGAAATAGCCAACTGCTACAATCTCCTATACATTAGTTGCCTTGCAGCCAAGGTACAATTGTTGTCCAAAAGATGATATCAACTTTGAGATCGTTAACCGCGAAATCAACAAATTCCTGCTTCGTAAACGGCTTTCCGGTAGCCGCATTGGTCTCATTCAGCACGTCAGGCTGCTGAACAGCTATAACACTAATCGGTACCTTGTTGTGATACTCCGGAATATACACGTATGAGTTTGCCATTTGCCCTGGCTTGTTCGGGATCAAGTCTGGTCCGCCAACACCGACGCCATGCTTTGCGTAATAGTTGAAGGAGTCGGTGAAACGGTTGTTCGTGTTGTTCCATCCATCAGGCCAGAAGTTGACATACTGCACAGCATAGCTCTTCTTGAAAACACTGGCTGCGTAGCCGGCGTTCTCCAGTTCACCCAGGAAGTAGCCCTCGTCGGTGTAGTTGTTCGCAGTTACGTCCACAGCGATGGACGTCTCTGGTAGGTTGAGTCCAGTAATTTTACCATCAAAATTCAGAGCCAACTCCTTTAAGAGTGCCTGGTAGCGAGAGCGAACTCGTGCATTCCATTGCTGCGCTACATAGCCAGTGATATTGAAGTTGCCATCGCAGGAATCTCCATCACAAGAAGGTGCACTTCCATTGTTGTAGTACGGTGTATGCAAGTATTTAGGGACAGGATCATTAGAGACATCAAAGCTTCTGTCCTGAACCTGAACCCAGAGCTTCTTGCCTTTGGCGAGTACATTTTTGTAATCGCACCTAATTCTGGAAAAATTATAGTGACCTTGAGTTGGCTCAAGAGACTTCCAAGTATACTGAGCTTGAACTCCAACGATATCGGGTCGATCCAACAGGTTCAAGGCCACGTCGTCAATTTGAGGACTGTACAGCCAATTTTGCGGCAATGGATGGTTATCGGCTGCTGGTGAAGGGGCAGCGAGCGCCTGTCCAGCCAGGGCTGAGAGAGCCAAGTAATAGAAGCGCATTATGACCAGTGATAGTATATGAAAGGCGGTGCTGACTGCTAAAAGATGTCTGATTCAATCAAAGTGTTACTGGGGATTTTAGGGCACAAAAAGGGTGATGAAAGTTGTCCAGAACATTAGAATTTATATGCGAAATTGAGATAGCTCATTATACTACGTATCTATCTTTGCTGTAACGTTGACCCCACGATGGTCCATGTTGTCGACCGTTCCCGGTTGTGAATACGAAGTACGAGCAAGCCGAGTATCCACTAATAAGTTCAAGCCAGATACGTGCAGTCCCGCAATGAGAACAGTGCGTCAACAATGGCGTCTCCGAAAATGGAGAAGAGAGCCCCCGATAATGGTCTTCCCGACAACGGTGCCTGAAAGCATAGTCTGTTATAACGGGGAAGTGCATGTTCAAAGACATCAGATTGGTTCGGCCGGATAATGTGACAATAAGGGTCCTTCGGCAAAGCCTTTAGCGCTTATCATGGTGACTTTATCAGCTGTCATAAACTTTGTCCGCCGGCCGTACATGAATCAGGTCACGAAAATCGGGATACGAAAGTCATCGGGGAATTAAGAGAATTTTCCTTCGGCTAATACGAGTTCCAGAGTTTCTAGAACGCTTCCTAGCGCTTGTAGTAGTAATCAAGCGGAAAGACTTGCCTCTTGTACTTGTTGTTTAGGGGAATCAAAAGACGTGATGTATTTGTGATGATAGCTGTGGCTTATATCAATGCAGGTGTCTCACTAACAAGCTTTCCGCGAAACTGATAGTATTCGTCATCAATCAACATACTTCAAACGCTCAATATCTAGATATCAATGGTGTTGTTTAGTATTATCCTGCGGGACTGAAAGCTATGAAGCGCGATCTTGGATGCATTAATAAGGGCGGACTGTAATACCGGCACTATTTTCACTGTTCTGCAAACCGGACAGTTTCTAAAATAGCACATATTCTATTACTCTTTTAGAAATATCTCGAGTTTCAGTGATATATATAGATGCTGATGATTTTCATCCAACCAATCACAATATGATCTACTCGTTGAATCTGTGGTAATCGCCCCCTCTTTATAATTGGGACAATGGGCCTGCTGGAGGCCTCTTCAAAAACTGTCGTAGACTAATCAATTTACACCTCCAAGGAGATTTATCTTCTTCAGCTTATCCACTTGCACTATCTACCCATTTTCTCTACTTTAGGTGACCAATGATTAGTGTTGACCTCACAGTTGAATCCAAGCCGCGTGAAACCGGCTAAAAGCTAAGGTCGTTAACAAAAGTTCTCTTCATCTGAGTTCAACGCAGACAACACAATAATTCTTAACTTTTGACCAAGAATTGCGAGGTTGTGGCTACCAACAGGAAAACAAATATCGAAAATGGGAAGTACAATACATGTTAAGCCATAAACATATGCACAAGCTTTCATTCCAGTTTTTCTCTGTAATGCAAGTCATAATTGCAAAAAAAACTATAATGAGAGAAGTAAAATACTGCGAGCGTGCGTGTATCGTAGAGGGGGCAACAAGGCGATGAAAAACCATGTTATCATTGCCTGGGGCAAAGTTGAAGATGGCTCAAACTCATTACAGAGATATGAAGCCCTTCTACATTTTTTGGTACAACTCATTGAAAATCTCGATAAAGGGGTTTTAATACATTACATGAGAGACATGTGACGCATTTTCCCGTAATATCATCTGCTAGACTAGGTAACCAGCGAGACTGCATTCGCTCAAAGTTTTGTCCTGCGACAAACATTGACTTCTACTAAACAAAGTGCTTCGGTGCCGTTTCTGACACTAGCACGCGGCCTATGATAGCATCTTTTGGGCTTTTTCGTAGCTTGGGCGCGCCAAAAGCTTCTTCAGCCATTTTTCTAGATAAGGGTACTTGTCGAGAGACACACCATCTAGTTCTAGAGGCAATTGCATCTGCAATTAGTTACACATAATAACTTATATAATATGGACAAGAAAGTCTTACCGTGATTAGCGACCCAGCCTAGGCAGGCTATATCGGCTATGGTAATGCGGTCACCGACAAGCAGTCCATGAGGGGACTTAGCCAGGTGAGTTTCCATAGTGTTATACAGGCGGTGAGTTTCATTGTCATAGCGGCTAATACCGTACTCTATTTTCTCGGCGGCATATCCTGTGGATCTCTAGTCAGCATCTGCCCGGAGAAGGAATCATATATTCAATCTACCCACTCCTAAAATGCTCTAGCTGTCCTTGCATAGGGCCTAAACCGCCTATTTGCCAAGAGAGCTAAACAGTTCTGTTAATTGTTGAAGTTAAAGGCATAGAGTCCCGAAATTTTTGTGAACGTACCCAACTCTTTACCTCCCAATACTCAGGGGAGTCCTTTGGGTACGAGAATTTGTTGTTCGTATCGTAGCGCTCAACAATGTACTCAAGGATTGCACCACTTTCAAAAATACGTTGCTCTTTCCCGCTCGGCCACGTATCGGTCAAGGCGGGGATCCGGCCATTGGGATTAATGTCCAGAAACCAGGGCAGTTTCTGCTCATTCTCTCTGAGCTTCACATGGTACAACTGATAAGCGGAAAATGTATATGTCAGCAACTTGATATCCCGCGTCCACTTGATATGAGGTGCGTGGTCTTTCAAACCTTGTATTCGAGTCCAAGCTCTTCAAGCAAGATTGGAACCTTGATACCATTTGGTGTTAATGCGGTGTAAAGCGTGAAATCAGTCTTGAGACCCATGTTCATAGATGAGACTTGTCGCTGTGCAGTGTAAAGTGTTCTTGTACCGAAGGTAAATTCGCGAGGCTTCAGTTGTAATGAATGGTAGATAAGTGTACGTTTTAAAAGAGATTGCATTGCGTTACAGAGCTGAGACGTTTGAAACTAGAGATTGAGTCGTGATTTTAAGCTTGTAAGTGGCGCAGGCCATGCACGGTGACGAGCGGCCAAGAATTCCAATGTTAGTCCGAAATCGTCCGCCTCGCCCTGCCGACAAATACAACCAGCTAGCTCCAACGGATCTCTCTATTACTAAGTAAATACGTAATGATGAAAGAATTAGTAATTTGACGATTTAGCTTATTTCAATATTACAGGGAAATTGGTCAACTATTGTGACTCAGTGACTCTATCCTAAGCGCACTTGCCGGGAGCTACAGTTGGTGGCCAAAAGTGTGAAGATACCACTTTGTTTTTACTGCTATAAATTTTTACACTATAACTGGAATAAGCTATTTCTTATCTAATTGAGTTATAAATATAAATCATTAGATTATTAGATAACTCTGCGTTTTATATCCAATATTTTATATAATACCTTTATGCATAGTGTACAGCAATAAGCCAGTGTAGTATAAATTAAATAAGCCTCCAGATCCGAGCTCAGGGTTGTGTGAGAGGATCACTAACTTGACTAAATTATTATAATCATCTAAGATCTGCCTGCATTCTTCTGTTTCAGAGCACCAAAACGGGCGAATGCAAGCAAGTCTTAAAGGGTTCAACTCCGTAATATTCTCACACAACCCTAAGCTAGTGGCAATAACCTTATATAGAACAGTCCAGATCTAGAACATCCGCACTGGAGAAGAGAAGCTGGTTCTAAAGGGGCAAGGCAATCTGCCCTAATTAATAACGCTGTCTCTAAACTTTAGTCTAGTAGCACTAGCCTCTAGATAATATAGTCTAGATCTAGAGCACTGATATAGATGAGTGCAGGTATATTCAAAAATATGACTGCGCTTGTGGCATCGGGCTTATATAATAAGTTAGTCCGGATCTAGAGGTTTAATATAGTCAAGGGTATATAAGTAATTTAAGTACTATAATCGCTCTCAGCAATATTATCTATGTACCTAGCCACTTCAGAAATGAATAGCAGCCACACAGCCCCCTGCACGGTGTGAACCCATCATGCAGTGCCAGCGCATCCAGCATCCTTGTAACGAATCATCTGGAGACTGTAAATTGACTGTATGCGGTACATACATCTACCCATCTTATATCAGGCTCCAGAATCATTGTTGGGCGCAAAATATCCCTTGCATATCGTCTGCTGGTTCCTACTGCCGCTTCTCCCCTTCTTCCCTCGAACCCTGTTGCAACCATGTCTTGGTCGATATTCTAAGCATCATTTTTTTCTTGTCTAGGCTTCGCAATCATGCCAGACTGTCAAATTTATACCGTCGGCTGGATCTGTGCCATCACTACCGAGCTTGTGGCTGCGCAATCCTTCCTTGACGAAGAACACGACGATGCTCAGTCAGCTGCCACAAACGACAACAACACCTATGTCCGGGGCAAAATCGGGTCCCACAACGTCGTTATTGCTCTTTTGCCCCATGGAGAATACGGCACGGCCTCTGCGGCTATCGTTGCGCGGGATATGCTACGCAGCTTCCCCAATGTGCGTATCGGATTGATGGTCGGCATCGGAGGCGGTGCGCCAAGTCCAAAGCACGATATACGCCTAGGCGATGTCGTGGTTAGCAGCCGCAGTGGCGACAAAGGCGGCGTATTTCAATATGATTTTGGCAAGACCATACAGAGCCAGGTTTTCCAAGAAACTGGCTTCCTCAACCAATCGCCGACGGTGTTACGGACTGCAGTTGGTGTGCTCGAAGCCCAATATGAAATGAATGGCCATAATCTCGAAGCCAGCATTGAATCAGCGCTAAAGAGGATAAAAAGGCGCAAGAAGTATTCGCGTCCATTGCCAGCTACCGACGTGCTTTATCGATCTGACTTTGAGCACCTGTCGTCGGTGGACAACTGCAACGAAGGATGCGGAGATGATCCTTCTCGCCTAGTAACCCGAGACGAACGCGACGAGGAAGATGATTATCCTGCTATTCACTATGGATTGATTGCCAGCGCAAATCAGGTGATGAAAGATGCAATTACTCGAGACAAATTGGCGGCAGAAAAGGGAGTCCTCTGTTTCGAAATGGAAGCAGCCGGCCTGATGAACCATTTCCCATGTATTGTGATCCGTGGCATATGCGACTACTCGGATTCTCACAAGAACAAGGAGTGGCAGGGCTTTGCAGCCATGGCAGCAGCCGCCTACGCAAAGGATCTATTGCTCCGAGTTGCTCCTGGCAAGGTCGAAGAAGAGCAGAGGGCTATAGATAAGCTGAATATGGGTTGGTTTTATTCGCCATCATAGGACGACTGAGAACTAAAGTTAAGTAGTGCACGAGGATACACAGACGATCAAGTAGGTATAAGCCCATGACAATTGAGAAATGAAATTAGCTAATGATGTCTTGTAAGGAATGCTATGACTTCCTTTGGTACAACAACATCTCTTAACCAACTTTCGATTGCTCAAGGGGCTTCGTTTGACTCTCGAGCAGAGGAACGAAACGAGCCATGTCTACCCAACACTAGGGTCGAATTACTTGAGAAGTTATCTGCATGGATTGCTGAACCAAGCTCCAAGCCAATATTTTGGCTGAACGGTATGGCAGGGACGGGCAAATCAACCATAGCTCGTACTTTGGCTGAAGCACAAGCCAGGTCAAAGGGCCTCGGCGCTACCTTCTTCTTCAAGAGAGGAGAGTATGATCGAACAAACCTCAAGAATTTTGTATCGACGCTTGCTCGTCAGTTGGCTAGAAACGTTCCAGGGCTCGACGTGCATATTAAGGCTGCGATCGACGTCGACTCAACCATTGTTGATAAACAAGTACAAGAACAATTCAAGAGACTCGTCGTTGAGCCACTCTTGAAAATTCCCCAGACCCAATCGTCACTTGTCTTTGTCATTGATGCCTTGGATGAGTGTGAGCTAGACAGTGATGTGGCGCTGCTCATCCGACTCTTCTCAGCCGCGCAGAGTCTAAGCTCCCGACTTCGAGTCTTCATAACCAGCCGACCAGAACTTCCTATCCGCCTTGGGTTCAATAACATCCAAGGGACCTACGAAGACTTAGTTCTCCATGAAATTCCTGCGCCGACGATTGAACATGACATCACAGTCTTTCTCCGACACAAACTGAACCTGATTAAAAAAGAAGCTGATCAGTATCAAGAAGAACGAAAATTGCCTGAAAACTGGCCCGGTGAAGCAGCTATGCAGAAGCTTGTTACAATGGCCATCCCGTTGTTCATCTTCGCATCAACTATTTGCCGACTGATCGGTGACTATAGACTGGGCAATCCACAGGGTCTGCTGGACGAAGTTCTCAGCCAAGAAAACGGCGATGGCGCCTCTCAGCTGCACATGACTTATTATCCAGCGTTGAAGCAGCAATTCGCTAGCTTGCAAGAGCATGAAATCGACAGGCGTAGAAAAGTCGTCGAAAGTTTCCGCCTAGTTGTAGGCACTATTGTGACACTTTTTCAGCCTTTATCTACGGTCTCACTGTCTGGACTCCTTGGAATTTCCGAGGGGGCCGTGTCTGCTAGACTGAGATTGCTCCACTCGGTCTTGGATATTCCAACGGATCCCGAACGCCCTATACGACTACTGCATCTATCGTTTCGAGATTATCTCATCAATCCTCAAATTATGAAAGAGAAGTACTTTTGGATAGATGAAAGGCTGGTGCACCAGAATCTAGCAAGGCATTGCCTACGTATTATGAGGCTTCATCTACGAGAAGATATATGCGGCCTACAGCATCCAGGCTCACGTCGATCCGATATCAAAATTGAACAAGTCAGATTGAATGTTCCGATAGAACTTGAGTATGCTTGTCTTTACTGGATACAGCATGTAGCAGCAGAGAGCCTTGAGTCAGATACTACTGAGGAGATTCATAGCTTTCTGCGGCAACATTTTCTGCATTGGATCGAACTAATAACCCTCGTTGGAAGGTTTACGGAGGGTGTTCCTTTACTCACAAAATTACAAGACTGTGTGCAGGTAAGCAACGCTTTCGAGGTAGCTAAGAGCCTACTAACGCTATATAGAGAGCAGAGGAGCACCTGAATCAACCCCTGGCCGATTTTATCACGGATGCAATACGTTTCCTGCGCTTGAACTTTGCCGTTATCAATGAAGCACCGTTGCAGATATATTCCTCTGCATTGCTTTATACACCTGGAAAAAGCCACGTCAGAATGCAATATGCTGATACGATACCAGAATGGATTTCCCTCAGGCCAATGGTAGGAGACAACTGGGATCCATGTCTGTTGATACTAGAGGGCCATAGCAACCGAGTCGGCTCAGTTGTCTTCTCTCATGACTCTAAACTTGTGGTATCAGCTTCACAGGATGAAACAGTCCGCATCTGGAGCACCGAAACAGGAGAGTGCAGGCACATCTTAGTTGGCGATAGAAGGCCAGGCAAGTCAGCCTTCTCCCACAACTCCGAGCTAGTAGCAGCAGCCTCAACTGATAACACAGCTCGGATCTGGAGCACCGAAACGGGCGAATGCAAGCAAATCTTGGAGGGTCATAGCAAACCAGTCATCAACGTGATCTTCTCACACAACTCTGAGCTAGTGGCAACAACTTCATATGATTCAACAGTTCGGATCTGGAGCACCGAAACAGGCGAATGCAAGCAAATCTTGGAAGGTCATAGCAACTCATTTAACTCTGTAATGTTCTCGCACAACTCTGAGCTAGTGGCAACAACTTCATATGATTCAACGGTTCGGATCTGGAGCACCCGCACTGGAGAAGACAAGCTGGTTCAGAGGGGGCAAGGCAATCCCCCCTTGCCAGTAGCGCTGTCTCCAAACTTTAGCCTGGTGGCATTAGCCTGTGAAGATGACACAGTCCAGATCCGGAGCACTGATACAGATGAGTGCAAGCATATCATAAAGGGTCATGGTAGCCATATCAAGTTCATGGAGTTCTCAAATGACTCCAAACTAGTGGCCTTTTCTGGAGACAGAGGTGCCGGAGCCCGGATTTGGAATATCAACACAGGCGAAGGCAAAGCCCTGGAGGGTTTTGACGAATGGGTCGAGTCAATAGCATTTTCACATGACTCCAAGCTAGTCACAATAGCCTCAAGTGGGTATAAAGTCCAGATCTGGAGCACTTGTACAGGCGAGTGTAAGCAAACTCTAGAAGGCCATAACCGTTGGGTCGCGTCAGTCATGTTTTCTCACAACTCTAAGCTTGTGGCATCATCCTCCGCCGACGGCACAGTCAGGATTTGGGACTCCAGTTCGGGCGATTGCAGAGTTCCTGTTGGCCATAGCGATAGAGTCCGGTCAGTGGCATTGTCGCCTGATGCTAAGCTAGGGGCATCGGGCTCAGAGGATCATACAGTCCGGATCTGGTGCACTGATACAGGCAATTATAGGATTCTGAAAGGCCATAGCGATCATGTCACTTCTGTGGAGTTCTCGCATGATTCGAAGCTTGTATTATCATTCTCGCACGATTATACAATCAGGGTCTGGTGCACTGAAACAGGCGAGTGCAGGGTTCTAAAAGGCCATAGTAATACTGTGTTTTCTGTGGTATTCTCGCATGATTCAAAGCTTATAGCATCAGCCTCGCAGGATACAACAGTCCGGATCTGGAGTACAGATACAGGCGATTGCACTATACTGCAAGGCCATAGCCATATGGTCCGTTCTGTGACGTTCTCACATGACTCCGCGCTCGTGGCATCGGGCTCATACGATAAATCAGTCCGGATCTGGTGCACTAAAACAGGCCAGTGCATTCTTGTCAAAGAGCATGACTCTGGCATCGAATCGGTGGCATTTTCACATAGCTCTAAGTTAGTGGCATTGGCTTTGCCTGCTGGTAAAGTCTGGATCCGGAGCGTCGACACGGGCGAGTGCATACAAGTGATCCAAGTACCATGGCGTGACGGAAAGCTATGCTTCAACGCCGACGACACATCCATTGCCACAGATGCTGGAACTGTGCCCTTGAATCTCCAGCCTAGTACTACAGCATCTGATCCACCTTCTATGGCAGGCTCATCTGCAATAACAGATCTCTCCATCGATGAAGGCTTGACTTGGATTAGTTGGCGCCAAAAGAGGATCTTGTGGCTTCCAACTGAATGCCGTGGAGGGAAAGCAGCTGTCCGCGGATCAATAATTATATTAGGATGCCGGTCGGGGAGAGTGCTTCTGATCCGCTTTGATATAAAGGAGCTTGACGTATTAAGTCCTGCCGCCAATCTTTCAGCCGAAGAACCCAAGCTTAAACGCCAGAGACTCGTATGAATTGATGATTATTACTGCAATTTGACGCCAGAACATCGAAATCATTATACACAAGACGAGAAAGAGGTTACTGTAATCTGTGATATCATTAGATCACCAAAGCAAAAGAGCATTGAATAGGTAGCAACAGCAGTCATCTTAATAGCACCAGCTGTTTTAAAAGGATCCGTATTATACGCTACCAAATTAGATCGCAACAAGAGCAGCTCCTGTAAGTGTAAACTTTCTGGTGATAGTACATCAAAGAAAGCGTAAAGTATTGATTTCAGCTTTGGTCAGCTTTTCTCCGTCTTGGTTTCGTCGCTGCGTATGATGTTACTTCTCTCTTTCTCTAATAAGCGGCAGCTGTATAAAGGAGCTGCCGTTTTTACATCTGGACTCAGCTATAGAGCCGCGGATGTCTGCATGAACACAGGCATAGAGAAAGTGGAAGAGGAGGAAAGAATAGAACGTTTAATCAGTGTGATTTTTGACCCCTCCCTCCCTCCCTCTTATTTCCTAACACTAACTTCCATTGTCCTATTTTAATTCTCAGACATGAAAAGCTTCTTTAGCCCAGTGTTAGATGCGTAGTGTTGTAGAAAAGTGCATTCTTTTCGCTCCGTAATCATCGTTATGCCGCTTACGCTGCTTCAATGACGTAGACTACAATTATGCAAGCCTTTTGTTATTTGAATCAGGAGAATTGCATTGCCTTTATTTGCATTCTATTTGTACCTACTTTGAAAATCCAACGTCACTTGTGAAGGCGTAGCGCGCTTAGAGCGCTACATACCTAGCCTACCCTGTAATAGCTCCTGGTATCCTTATCGATAGCGATAAGATAAACCGACCCGACAAAAAAGTTTCCGCCATCTCTCTATGTAAGCATGGCGAGGTTCCAGTGGCAGCGCTTTGGATCTCGACGTTGATGAAAATTCTTAATTCGCCATAGCATTTGCTTTTATCGTCACAATGCCTTCACGAGCTGCTGTGCGGCAGCCGCCGAAACACAAGCCCAACAAAACAGAGATCAAAAGGCAAAAGAGGAAGCGCGATCATGAAGACCTACAGAAGATTGAGAAGGCCATCCAAGAGCTGGTGGGTTGCAGAAGCGCAAGCAAAATTTGGTATGCCTTTCTCTGTCGCTGACTTTGACTATGTACAGGACCCGAAGTCTGGCAAGATAAAGACTTTCGCCGACCTATCCTCAGCAATCTCGCCCGCAACAGCATCCGGCCTGCATTCATCGCATTTCACGAATATGACCGATATCCAAGAACAAGCGATCCCGTTGGGTTTGAAAGGAAAAGATATCCTCGGCGCAGCAAAGACAGGTAGCGGCAAGACGTTGGCTTTCTTGGTCCCAGTGCTGGAGAAGCTCTATCGTGCGCAATGGACAGAATTCGACGGCCTCGGTGCGCTCATCCTCTCCCCGACTCGCGAGCTGGCAGTTCAGATTTTCGAAGTCCTGCGAAAGATCGGTCGACATCACGCCTTCTCCGCTGGTCTTGTTATTGGTGGAAAGAGTTTGAAGGAAGAAGCTGAGCGATTAGTCCGAATGAACATCCTTGTTTGTACGCCAGGACGAATGCTGCAGCACCTGGACCAAACGGCTGGCTTCGATGCAAACAACCTGCAGATTCTGGTGCTGGACGAGGCGGATCGCATCATGGACCTAGGGTTTCAATCTGCGGTCGATGCGCTGGTTGAGCATTTGCCCAAATCTCGCCAGACCCTCATGTTCAGTGCCACACAGAGCAAGAAAGTCTCAGATCTTGCCCGACTCAGCCTCAAAGACCCCGAATACGTCTCTGTGCATCAAGATGCAACAACAGCCACTCCCTCCACTCTTCAACAACACTACATCGTCACGCCCCTCCCCGAGAAAATCGATACTTTGTATGGATTTATCAAGGCAAATGTCAAGAGCAAAATCATCGTTTTCCTTAGCTCCGGTAAACAGGTCCGCTTCGTCTACGAAAGTTTGCGTCATCTTCAACCTGGTATCCCGCTTCTCCATCTCCACGGTCGCCAAAAGCAAATCGCACGATTGGAAATTACAAACAGATTCACAGCTGCAAAGACGTCATGTCTGTTTGCAACTGACGTGGTTGCGCGAGGCATCGATTTCCCGGCTGTCGATTGGGTCATCCAAGCAGACTGCCCCGAAGACACCGATACATACATCCACCGAGTCGGACGGACGGCCAGATATGAGAGCAATGGCCGTGCTGTTCTCTTCCTCGACCCTAGCGAAGAGGAGGGAATGATTAAGAAGCTGGAGCAGAGGAAAATCCCTATACAGAAAGTACACGTCAAGGACAAGAAGAAGAAGACCATCAGGAATAATTTACAAGATATGTGTTTCAAGAATCCCGATTTGAAATACCTCGGCCAGAAGGCCTTTATCAGTTATACCCGATCAATTCATCTGCAAAAGGACAAAGAGGTGTTCAAGTTTGATGCCCATGATTGGGATGCCTATGCTGCGAGCTTAGGTCTGCCCGGAACACCACAAATCAAATTCCAGAAGGGTGAAGATATCAAGAGGATAAAGAACGCGCCCCGCCAAGGCATGTCGAGCGATTCAGAGTCTGACATGGATCTGGATGGAGCGTATGATAAGAAGAAGAAGGACAAGAAGAAGCAAGAAGTGCGGACGAAGTACGACAAGATGTTTGAGCGAACCAATCAGGACGTTTTGTCGAGCCATTACTCTAAACTTGTGTTGGATGGAGGCAAAGCGGCTGAAGAGAGTGGAGACGATGACGATGACGACGACGATTTCTTGGCTGTAAAGAGGCGATTAAATGACGATGATCTTGATGCAGTCTCCGGGAAAGCACCTGTGAGTGGCGCCAAGGTCATACAGCTAGGCGGCGACGACCTCTACGTTGTCGACTCAAAACGTCGCGAGAAGGCTCTCCAATCCAAGAAGAAGATGGCTAAATTCCGAGGCAACTCCTCTAAACTGGTCTTTGACGAGGATGGCAACGCGCACGAAGTCTACGAGCTCCAAGATGAAGATGACTTCAAGCAACAGGGCCCCGCGGACGAACAGCGACAGAAATTCGTCGAGAGCGAAACGGTTCGTGTCAAGGAAGCCGATGTGGACGATAAGCTGCTCGCGAAACAGAAGAAGCGGGAGAAGAAGTACAAGAAGAAAGAAAGAGAGGCGATGGAGATGGCGGGAGGAGTTGACCCGAGACTGGAAGGTCCTGAGGACGGAGAAGATCCGCTGGCGCTGCTGCGTTCTCTGCCCATGGCTGGCGAGGATCGCAGCGATGATGGTGCTTCTGACGCCGAGCCGCCAAAGAAGAAGGCCAAGAAATGGTTCCAAGATGACTCTGAAGACGAGGATGCCAAGAAGAAGAAGAGTGGAAAGAGGAAGAAGGTCTTTGAGGTGGATCAAGAGCCTGAGACTCTAGAGGATTTGGAGGCTTTGGCTGCGGGCTTGTTGGATTCTTAAAAGGGAGCTTTGTGTTATACCCTTGCTTGATGTGGTTGTTGATATTGGTGGTTATATGGAGGGGATGTAATTCAGAGCATAATGTCATTTTTAGATGTAAACACATTGGCAATTTTCATCACAAAGGAAAGATGAGTTCGCAATAGTGACATATTCATCATTTTCAACCCACCTTTCACACACTGGTACTCTCAACACTCTGTTACGTTGTATATCTAGACCCACGACAAGAACAAATTGTCACGGAATCAAGAACCTAAGCTACCCTCCCAGAGTCTTCCTCACTGGAATAGAGAATTGTAAGAACAGTGTAGCACATGCAAAACATCAGTAATAACACCGACAGCATACTGACGAGTAGCCCCAGAACTGAATATAAATCTCTATTGTTTCATTCAAATACCTAAGAATAAGCCACATGCTCATCCATACAAGAGTCGAAAAAGGCATTTCTCTATATGGGGTATTCTTCCTATATAATACTAATGCATCTCTCTCTCATCTGCCTATTTGTAATTCCGACCCTATTCTGCGTGCGCCTGGCTACCACAAAGCAAAAAAAAAGAGAGCACATAAGATGCTTACCCACTAATAAAAGGGAAAAAGAGAACAAAATTCAAGAAGAGATCAAAATAAAAGCCGCTCCTATGACGCCGCCGAATGCATTGTTTTTGTTGTATTCCCCTTTTTCCTTCCCTCACCCTTTTCTACTATTATATATCATCTTCTTTGTACCCGTAGAGACGAATGCGGTAGAAACACGTGTGATTCGGAGCACCGTAATTGCTCACGGCCCGAACAATCACTTGGTCCGTCTCCGCGTTAAGAGCGACGAGTTCGCTGCTGAGGCGATGGACATGGACGCCATCATGCAACTCTGCGCCCTCGTATACAAATTGCGAGACTTTCACAAACTGAAAAGGCAAATCAGCCGGCGTATAGTTCCAGTCGAATTGATCTTCGGGGTAATGTGCCGCCGCAAAGTCCAGGAGGCGCTCTCGCACAGCTCTGTCCTCAATCTTAATGTATACTTCGATTTGGCGAGGTCGGGCTCCGGGGTTCGTCGTCGCGCCGGGCAAGATGTGTTCAATCACAAGGTGCTGAGGGATGATGGAATGACCCATGAGGACGCTCAGCTTAGCACCATGTGGGTTACCGCGCTTGTTGACCTCGCGCGCAGCACACCAGCAATCACCGTCGTCATGCCAAGGGAGCAGAGCTTCTATAGGTGGATATGGTTGGGCACCCTTGAGACCCTTGTCGTTGAGATATTTCGCGTCTGGCTTGAATGTTGTAGATGTCTGTTTGACGTCCACAATAGCTCCTGCGCCGACTCCAAAGTAGTTGACTTGGTTCTTTAGATCGGTATCCCAGTGCGCACGAATCTGGCCCTTGGCCATAGCCTCCAGGTTGAGATCAGCAATAGCGTTACGTATTGATCTGTCAACAAGTTTGGTAACTTCTGTGCGCGTTAGGCTCGAAGAATCATCCTTCTTGGCCAGCTCGAGAGAGTCACGTATCTGCTGTTCTAGTCTGGGTTGCAGCTCGTTGATTTCGGCCTTCATCTCAGACCAGTGAGCAGCAAACTCGTTCTTCAAGTACTGCAGGAAATATTCGCGAGTGACGACAGTGCTATCGCTTTTGGTGCTCTCAACATGCTTCTTGATTATCTGATCAAGGCGCTTATCAAGATCTTTATCCGAGAGAGATCCGGTGATTTTCATCTTGTCAAGGATGGGACGGAGTGTTTGCTCAACTCTGCGCTGATTATCACCTGCCCATGCTTCCCACATGTGCGGTAGCTTTTTGGCAATCGCGTCGTTCCCTTCAGTGATTTTGGAGGCGATTTCAGGACGTCCTGCCACCCACGCGGCAATGTCCTTCCATTGCTTCTCCGTTGATGGTTCGTAATTATTGCCCTTCTTGTTTAGCATCGGGAAGCTGCCGTCTTTCTCAATCAAATCTCGCATGGCATGCCAAAACTCTTGTGTAATGACTGGTTTTCCGTCCTTGAGCGTCATGTGTACCATCTTGGGGACGACTGTGTTTAGCTTCTCGATTGATGACTCGTGAAGCTTCCCAGCACCCTTCATCAGGCGGAGATCTCGTAATACCTGGTTGATTAGACCCTCAAATTCAGCATACTTGTCACCTCGCAGGTCATCCAGTTCTGGAAACTCATCCCACGCGCTTCGTGAAGGCCAGGAAATGGACGGAATGAAGTTTCCAATTCGAGAAGCAAGGTCTCCAAAGCCAGGTGGCGTTGGTATTGACACTGATGGAACAGAAATAACAGGTAGCTCATCCAAGCTTGGTAAATTGGCAATGGCAATGCTGGATAGGACAACGGCCAGCATAAGGATGGAAAAGCCACTGACGGTGTATACTATCGCCTCGCCAATAACCGAGAGCCGCCGCCGGACAGTCTCTGAGAAAAAGCCAGAGGAAAATTCAGAGACAAAGCTGGTGATGCTGTCTATCATGGAGCTGAACACCCAGTAGATGGCCCGTAAATATGTGAGTGGATTAAACAGCTGCTGCCAGTTTATGGAATCGTCGGTGGCTGCGGAATCGACTTCTGAATCAAAGTCAGAGCCAATATCGGAGGATGTGGTAGAATCATTGTCTCCGTCTCTGTATTGTGTGTCTCTGGGTGGAAATTGTAGCCTAAAGCCCCAGGGAAATAGAGACGCGAGGATTCGTCGCAAGGTGCCTTGACGCATATGCAGAGCGTAACTTTCCGCCTCTCGGATGTTATTCTGCACGGCATCATCCAATTCGCTGTGATCCGATGCAAAGCGAGAGCGAGGTTGCCTGGCAGCGATGGTTGGAGGAAAAGGAGCAGAGCTGCCGACATTTCTTCGAGTAAGAACCGCCCGTTGATCTTTGTCCTGCGATTGACTTGCTCCATTTGTAGTGGCGGGTGGTTTCTGAACGCGTGTCCTCGCTTGATTCTGTTCGGTTGGTCTACTCGTGCCAGCCGTCTGGCTTAATTGAGAGTCAGACTCGGGAGGACTGACAGGCCCAAGAATCCTTCCCCCTAAAAGGCTCTTGACAGCGCTCCAAGCTCTGTTTGGAGTCGGATTGACTCGATCTGGGGTGGTCCGATCATACTGGTCTTGTGTTGTCCCCAGAGACGAAACCAGTGGCCGGCGGTGATTTGCCTTTCTATTTAGCGGAACAGGTTGGTGGGCTGGTTTTAGTTGCGGCATCGGTGAAAGTCTTAATGAGGCGTTACCAAAATAATCGCCTTCAGCGTCGAAGCTGCGCAAGTCAGAGTCGTCGCTTTCGGTGGGAGTGAGTTCTCCGTCCTCATCGTCTCCTTCGGTTACCTCTCCATCTTCATCTTGGTGGAACGATCTGTCGAAGGCCAGTTTTGCAGTGGCATCTGTTCTCGCTAAAAGACTAATTAGTTGTCAAATTCACCACTAAAGCAGACCCTTCAAACGAAACACATACCCAACTTTGATGAATGCGGCTGTTGATTCGTCTCATCGTCTGAGCCCAATTCTGAATCATGGTCGCTTGAAGTAGGTTCCCTTGTGAGATCATATCGATGAGCCGTTTGTGAATTGGAGTGAAGTCGCCGCAGCTCTCTCTCTTCCTCGGCCTCCTGAAGTTCTTGTCTCTGAAGAACATCGTTCATCGCTTCCTCGAGGCTCAGTGGCATGCCGTCACTGCTGAGGCGTCGAGGGGCAGAAGGTTCAGTCGCGGCGCCATACGCATATTGGCGTCTTGCACTGGGCGCACCCTTCAAAGTAGGAAGATTAGGTTTTTTAAAATCTTCGACTTCCGTCCGCGTAGGCCCTCGCTCAGCATGTCCGCGATCCCTCGACCGTAGTCTCCCTCCTCGGCCTCCTCCATTCGTCATGATAGCAAAGTGAAAGCTTCTTAAGCAGCGGCGTATAAAGAGATGAGGGAGCAGTCGTTGTGTTGAAAAAGATATGGAATTTGGTGGGTATCGAAGATGGGAATGCTTGAGGACTGATATCTTCAAATAGCAGCGAGTCTAGATTTGGGATTGACAGAACAAAGGCGGCCGTGATCTAAATTTGTCTGCAGCTCAAAATCCGAGTTCGTTGGTGGCTGGGCCCCGGATTCTTTGTGTCCTTGCCAAGATGAATCCTTACTGGGCGAGAGCTGCGATCAACAAAGAGCATCTTTATTGACTTTGGGCACGACGCATGGCACCTGAGCCGGCGGTAGGGCGATGTAAAGCCGCTCGCTTGATTGTATCTACGCCGAACAATGAGAACCTTTGAGCAAATCGGGATTGAGGCCGTGAGAGATTCGTTTTCGGAAATGCAGAGCTGCTTTTGTTGTCTTCCCTTTTCCCAATGAGATGCCTTTGAGCCTTAGTGCTTTGCGCGGACAACTTCACTGAGGCGCGCAGGTAGCGTGACGCGCCGAGGCTTAAGCGGCGCATTTTGGGCGAAACATCAGGCACGATTCATCACGGTCACGTGCGCGTCCGGAGATGGTCTGTCATGAAGTACTGCCAGTGTTCAGCGTTTTTAACATGGTGCAGGAATTTTTGTTTTCCTGAATATATGGTACTGTCCTAATATTTCCTTCTATGATTGATGGAAATGCACTTGCAGTGGCCAGCGGTCCCCGACAGTTAGTGCACGGCGCCTCGGCGAGGGTCTTTCGGCGCATTGCCCTGCAGCTGCGGTGGGCTTGATCAAAGAGCAAGGAAGCACAACAGGAAATAGTGGCTTATAGCCATCGACGGATATGAATCTCGTGAGATTACAAAATCAAGTTTCACATAGATGAGACGATATATCGGTCTAAATGATACAAGCATAAGCGTGTTCCGCCAGCGCGGATCTTGCCAACTTTGCGCATTGTCAGAATCGAGTCTATCAAGAAAACAAGGCGGACAGGGGCATGTCAGATATGATGATGTGCGTCTCATCTTACAGACGAGCATCAACAACGCAAATGATCTGCAGCAAATGCAAGCTTCGCATCTCCTATTTTATGAGATAGTTATTGAAACATTGCAGAATAGAATCAAGGGGCAATGCTTTTTTTTTTTTTTGGCATGAAATTAAAGCTTGACATCCAAGCAAATGCGTCATCGCAAATGCTTACAAGTAGAACGGGGCACAATCGTGATGCAGCAAGGGCTTTGACAGGGCAGCATCAGATTACAGTAGTGTTCAATATTTAGAGGTTGTAACAGTAATTTGAGCTTATACGACTAGCTCGTGATAACGGGTTGCAACGTGTGTTAGACTGTGACAATGAATAATGATGCCCCATTTGGCTTTTCCTTCTGGCGTGTTCGTCGAATAATAACTCCCCGCTAGAAATCGTGGCAGCACGAGCAGATTGAAACTGAAACGAAAATGTGGGTTCCTCCGTGATCCCCGTAACATCCATCCGTCTGCAATGCCGTTCACTAAGTCGCCTCCATGCTTTGCTCAATTGACTACCTAGTAGTATCGTCCAGTTGTCCACGGGTGTTACGAGCATGAATCGAGCCTTCTGAAACATGTCGTTGCGGGCTCAGATCCGCACTCAGAACAGAGGGTTCAGCTGGATCGGCAGCCAAGTGAGGCTCTCCATAACGAGCAGCAGCATCTCATTTTCTGCATTTGCATCTCTGTCTTCACGTCCATCCACATCCCTGTCTCTGCCGTTGTCGCCGTCGCCGCCGCCACGTTTGGGATTTGCGGTGGTCGGAGCTCAAGATCGTCACCGGCTCCAGCCAGCGCCCCAGCGGCTGCACCGCTATAGCGACTACTACAGGCACTGCCCCCAGCGCCGCTACCAGCGCCAGCGCGCTGTCGATCCGCGCCTATCAAAACCGCTAATATCAGCCGTATCCGCATCCCACCCCATCCGCATAGCACAAGCGCCATCACAAGCTGCAACTCCATCGTCGTCTCGCAGCAATAAATTGCGCTCCCCCCTCTTACCTCGAACCGGCTCTGTGTTCACCAATCCCGCGACTCCTCACCTCAAACTCTCTAGACGCTACTTCTCGAGCTCTTCAACCACAACCACAATGCCTGTCGGAACTGTCCTCGTCACCGGGTACGACCCCTCTCTTCCATCTCGCATCTCGCGGCTTCCCCTCCATCCCGCTTCTTTTTGGTTGCGCGCTTATTACCAAATTTGTTGCGCTGCTGTGCGCGCTGTGTCGGCATAATATTTGCGACGCGACGCGATACGATGCGAAACAATGCGATGCGATGCGATCGTCACCATTTGGCTCGTTGACTGACAGATATTCGCAGTGGAACGGGCTACATCGGCTCCTTCACGACTCTGGCCCTGCTGGACGCTGGCTACGATGTCGTCATTGTCGACAGCCTCTACAACTCCTCCAAGGTCGCCCTCGACCGCATCGAGCTGCTGGCCGGCCGCCGTCCCGACTTCTACCAAATTGACATCACCGACGAGAAGGCCCTGGACGAGGTGTTTGCCAAGCACCCCGCCATCGACAGTGTCATCCACTTTGCCGCATTGAAGGCAAGTTTCGCCCCGCACTCCTTTTCGGTTTGCGATGCGACAAGCAAGCGATAGCAGATGGACGCGAAAATGAAGAAAAAGAAAGAGAACAAGAAGTTAACATGATTCAACCGTGTTCCAGGCCGTCGGAGAATCTTCCGTGATCCCTCTCGAGTACTACCGCGTCAATGTTGGCGGCAGCATTGCCCTCCTCCAGTCCATGTCCCGCAACAATGTCACCAACATCGTCTTCTCCTCCTCCGCCACCGTCTACGGCGATGCCACTCGATTCCCCAACATGATCCCCATCCCCGAGCACTGCCCTATTGGCCCGACCAACACCTACGGCCGCACCAAGTCCATGATTGAGGACGTCATCTCCGACTACATCAACGCTCAGCGCAACAACCTAGAGAAGGAGGGCAAGCCTTTCCAGCAGTGGAACGGCGCTCTGCTGCGCTACTTCAACCCCTGCGGTGCCCACCCCAGCGGCATCATGGGCGAGGATCCTCAGGGCATTCCTTTCAACCTGCTTCCCCTGCTGGGACAGGTTGCCACAGGCCAGCGCGAGAAGCTCCTGGTCTATGGAGAGGGTGAGTGATGGCATTCCCTTGAACTGCGCTTATGAAGCGCATTGCGCGATATCGAAACTAATACGTTCTTTATAGACTACCCCTCTCGCGACGGAACCGCCATCCGAGACTACATTCACGTTGTCGATCTTGCCCGAGGCCACTTGGTCGCTCTCAACTACCTTCGCGCCAACCAGCCCGGTGTCAAGGCATGGAATCTGGGTTCCGGTCGTGGCAGCACCGTCTTCGAGATCATCAAGGCATTTAGCGCCGTCGTTGGTCGCGATTTAAAATACGAAGTCGTTGCCCGCAGAGCCGGCGATGTCTTGGATCTGACTGCCAACCCTACTCTAGCCAACACCGAGCTGAACTGGAAGACTGAGCTCACCATGGAGAAGGCCTGTGAGGACCTCTGGCGGTGGGTTAGCAACAACCCCCAGGGATACCGACAGGAGCCCCCCGCGGAGTTGTTGGCTGCTGTCAAGAAGGCGTGAAGAAGAATATGAATCAGAAATTAAAAGAAATCTTATAGCGAAACAAAGAAAGGAAAAAGAAGAGTTGGATGAAAAGCTAAAAATAGACATACGTAATCGATTTGGAATGTCGCCAAGATGAGCGTTATTTACAAAATTGGATTTGAACAAAGAATTCCCCCCTTGTTTCACGATAGAATAAAAGAACAAGAAAATTAATTATGAAGACATTACTCAATCAGCAGGCACAATGGGTCATTGGTGATTTTTAATTTATTCTAAATCGTGATAATAATTTTACAAAACTACTCAATCTTAAGTAGCAGCTTGCCGGTTGTTCCTCTGCTCTCGAGGTCAATGTGCGCCTGGGCAGCGTCTTTGAGCGAGTAGATGTTGTGGATCTTGACCTCGACCTTTTTGGAGATGACAAGGTCAAAGAGCTCGGAAGTGTACTTTTCAAGGTCTGCTCTTTCAGAGACGTAGCCGTTGACAATGGGTCTCATCAGCTTGACGTTTTTGGGACCGAGCTGCAGGATGTTGACGGGGGGAACGGCTCCAGACTGCATATTCATTAGCATTGGTTTCTTTCTTTCATTTTCTTTGTTTCATATGAACAGGGCCATCACTTACTGCATTGCCGAATGAGATGAGATGTCCCTTGAGGGCAATCATCTGCAAATCAGCATCAAACGTCGCCTTGCCAACGCCGTCAAAGATGGCATCAACGCCATGCCCGCCCGTAATCTCCTTGACCTTGCTCACAATGTCGTCATTCGAGTTCACCAGATAATCCGCGCCGTAACCCTTCGCCAGCGCCAGCTTCTCATCCGTGCTCGCCGTCGCAATGATCTTGGCCCCGACGCTCTTCAGCATCTGCACCAGCAGCGTGCCCACGCCACCCGCCGCAGCATGCACCAGCGTCCACTGGCCAGCCTTGACCTCGCCCGCCTCGCGGATGAACGTCCACGCCGTCAAGCCCTGCAGGAAGATCGCCGCGGCCTCCTCGCTGGACAGCTGGTCGGGAATGGCAATCACCTTTGCGGCGTCCACAGCCGTGAACTCTGCATAAGCGGCCGAGGGAGCGCCGGCCATGTACGCCACGCGGGTACCTGGAGCGAAGCCCGAGACAGAGGCGTGCGCGGCGACGACTTCACCTGAAGCCTCACGGCCCATGACCAGGGGCATCGACGGCGCGGGGTACAGGCCGGAGCGGAAGTAGGTGTCGATGTAGTTGATGCCGGCGAAGCGGTTCCGGACGAGCACCTGGCCTGCGCCGAGGGCCGGCACGGGGATCTCGGTGTACTCGAGGACCTCGGGGCCGCCAATCTTGGAGATTTGGACGGCCTTCATGGTTGCGGGGACGGGAGCCATTTTGGTGGTGGAAAATGATCTTGTTGATGACGATGATGGAGTTGAGTGAGACAGCGATAGAGATAATGAGGGGGAGGGGCGATAGAGGGGCAGATGAAGTCGACGATGAGGGGCAGCGCCGAGAAACTGGCGAGAGGCTGCTTGTCTCGCAATTGGCCTTGCAGTAAGTCTCTGGAGCGAACGAGACGCAATGGCAATTGATCTCGACATTTGGAAATTGATGCTCTTGATTGATAATTCAATTTATTTTCGGAGATATCGGGTTGATTTAGAAATGCGGAGGGAGTCCCCGCGTATTATTAATAATAGCTTGAGAGCCCATGTTACTTGCAACGCTTGTAAGTTGACATGCAGGGCGCAAGAGTCCACTGTATTAGTGACTGGAGATCATTTAGTGGTGCACAGCACCTTTGCCTCAAAGTGCTGACGGGTGCATTGGCCCTCAATATCATATCAAATAGGGTGAAACGAGAGTTAATGTACACGCACAACTACATAGGGATGCGCACTGCAGAATTTGGTGCAAGGTTCACGGCTATCAAGGTTTTTACTGTTTCATCCTTAGTTAGTATCAGCTGTCTTCATGTTGTGATGCACATAGCTAGGTACTAGTACCCGAGTAACTAGTACCAACACATCTCATTTATGAATCAAAATAGTGGACAGGTTCAGAGATACTGTAGTCAGAGTCAACCAAAAAGTTATAAAATTGGGCTCATTATGGCGCTCGTCGCCTCTAATGCCGACGCATATATTCCCGTGTGTACCTACCTATATGTGCATACATGTACTTTTGTGGCTTCACTTCACTGTCTATATTCGGGCATCAACTATAGCTTGCAGTAATAGACAACGATGTAGACTTTGAGTCGGGTGCGTGCTTTGCGGAGATGTCAAAACTCACTAGCTTGAGCTACGGCTTTCCAATTGATCATGACATAGAGCGGCCGTGGAACCATCATGGCCGATACCGCTTTGCGAACTCATCCAAGGGTCAAGCGTAAAATTATCAATGCTCCAAATTCTTAAAGCCTTCACTATGGATAATACCTAAGATAAGATCTCAACTGGTTTGCCTGTCATAGCTAACCATTAAGCAATCATGCGTAACAAATTATCATGTATAAACTCCATAGAGGAGACTTTGATGAAGCGTGATTAGCATAGAAGCCATAGAAGACTGGAGCAGCAATACCGATGTGATTGAAGATTTTTTCACAGTAGTAGCTTTTGTTTTATCCTGGACAGTATGTTGAACAAAACAATCTATAGATGGCAAATTTTGAGGTTTTATAGGACCTTGCTATGAAGCCCATCAGAGAACTCGCAAGCGAGCTTTCATCGACCATATAGTAGGTTTATATTAATAGATGAACTTATTACAAGCCAAAGCCTCACCTATTCACGGCAGCATTTGCATCTCGGGGACCTCCAACGCACGAGAATATCGCAAGAGACTGCATCACTCGCCCTACAGTTTCTTTTAATATACTCAATCAGTATGTCTCTCTAGCAACAATGCGCGTCAGGATTGTCAAAAGTTACAATATCATTTCCGTACAATATCATTCTTATCGAAGCGCGGGTGCTGTGCTATATGTAGCAGCGGGTCCATGCGATCATTATCGCTGAATCTGTTGACGCCATATCGCTGCTGATTGCGCTGGCGCCTATATCGGATTTTTCCATATACCCAGGATGAGATACCGCGATGTGCGCTGTTGCCCGCTCATTCGAAGCCGCCTGCCGCCCGGTCTCCTCCTCGTCCCGTAGCGGCTTGATGCATATGCGTCCAACTTCACTCTCGAAATGGCCATCGAGCGCGTCGGCCCGTGAGAAACTCCTGCCACAACCCCACTGCCCTCCCGCTTTTAAATCTCCCTTGCACACGAATTTCTTCTCACCGTCATGGAGGCTTTCGTGTCTCTTTCGGTCGTTTTGTCTAGCAAAAGATTTCTTACAAACGGTACAGACGAAGGGTCTCTCATCGGTATGAGACCTTAGATGTGAACGAAGATTGTATGATCTGGTGAATCTCTTTGGACAGAGATTGCATTGGTAGCCCTTCAAAGACGCGGAGTTTGCCTCTGGCTTTGGTTCTGGAGGATTCGGGAACTTGTCTTTACCATCCCGAATGCCGTGAAACCGCAGCAGGTGCTTTGCAAGGTCCGATTTGGATACACACCCGAATATTGCTATAGGACAGCCCTCAAATGTGCAGACGAATGCGCGGTCATGCCGGTCACAATGCTTGTTCCTTTCTTCACGAGTTTGAAATCCCTGGTAAAAATATTGGCAGTATAATCGAGAGCACTTGAAATGCTTCGTTCCATAGTACAACTCAATTTTCCGCTGCGTCTCTACATCACAGTTGGAATTGACCGTCCGCTCAGTAGCTGCTCTTATATTCGCGGTGACCTGTGGAAAATCAAGCACTAGAGGCAATTCCTTGCTGTCTATAGTTAGACACTTGCGTTGCCAGACAATGGCCTGGGCGAGAGAGCTGTACGCCTCGAGAATCTGCAGAGCCTTCAGCTTGTCTTGCATTGGCTTCGATATCACTTGAACGCTAGGCATGTCTGTCGTATGTAGGTCAATGAAAGCCTCAATGTCTTCGCCTAGATCCAGAATTTGATCCTTCTTGGCCGTCGGAAGCCAGTCAAGGAGGTGAAGTGTCCAAGTTGCCACCGCATACTCGTAGAATGCAAATACGCCCGTGACCAATGCCGCCTCTATTTCGGAAGCGTTTGTCTTGGGGTTAATCTCGGGGAAGCAAAGATATGCGATGCTGAGTGCAAAGAGCTCTCGGTTGGCTTCGCCGGTATCAATAATCTCTTCGCGAATGAGAAAGCTGATGAGACCAGTATGGTTAGTCAAAGGAGGCACAGAGTTTTCGGACCATTCTCACTTTTTGGCGGTTGGATGTACCAACTCGACCACATAATCGGTGTGCACTTCAATCATGGAAGCACAAAAGCCCTTTGAGTCATTTATGAGCCGTTTATCTTCATTCAACTTCTGGTTTTCCAAATCCACAGATATGGCACCCTGGATTTCATGCCAATAGAGAGGTCTCTTCGAACAGGATATCCAAGACATCAATTTTTTCGAAATACGCCGGTTTGCTTCCGGCCCGCTCTGTAATATACGTCGAGTGATGCGCCGATATCTGTGGCAGTCATCAATCACCAATCTCGTCGGATAATGCTAGTGTTAAGACTGATGCTTTGACTCACACATCGTCTAGCTCGCTAGGAAAACTATCAGCCTTCCACTCTTCTAACAACGCCTCTCGGGAGGGTTGTTGAAACAGCTCTTCGAGCACGCATTTGGCAAAAATGAACATTCCTATCTGCAGTTTAACAACTAGATACTGTATCGGTCATAGACTTTATTACCTTGAGATCTAGCTGTGACTACAGCCGCGATGTCTAGCTCCTGCTCGCTAAACGTGCCGAATTTCTCTTCAATTCTGATCTGCCAGATCTTGGCAAAGGCCGCGAGTTCTTGTCGATTGCAGTCGGCGGTGATCTTGATAGTAGAAAGCATGGATAAATCCTTGCGAGCGATTCCATCATCTTGACTGACAAAAAGGCAGCGTATCTCATCCATAGTATTCCTGGGAAGGGAGTCAACTACGTTGCGAAAGAATGTGCATATCTCACGCCGATCATCTCGTGGGCACTCGTCAATGCCGTCAATAACAATGAATGTCTTGCGGCTCTTCAGAGCAAGTTGTAAGAGATCTTTGGCTAGACGAGAGCTGGACAAGATAGCCTCTCCGCCTGCTGTCCTTTTTTCTTACACCAAGTGCACTGTATACAGGGAGGTTTTAAAATACTGGCCCCTTAGAGTTTTTATACTAGTCCCTAGCATTTCTTATTTACAACCACCAGGTCCGTGACAAGGAAACAACCAGTGAGCCTTGGACGCACGCGAAAATTAAAGCCGGTTGGGTTTTTTTTTTCCCGAAAAATGGATGGCTGCAGAAGAACAAGGAAAGAAAGGATAAGCCCAGGATCGATAGTGATATAAGAGCGTTTAATAAGGCTGGAACTGAGGCCTTGCATTTTCCATAATCACGCCAGCCCAAACCCAGAACGCGAAGGGACGTATAAGGGCGTCTTCTGTTGTATGGTGCATTTGTTTGCATTGGCAAGTGGCACACCTGAAATTCTATCACTAAGCCATTTGAGCCACTCAGACGCCGAAGCGGCCATTGACTCGTCATGAGTGAGGTTGTGATACACGCTCAGGTGAACGATGTTGCCTTTTTTGCAGGCGAAATCGTATGCTTTAATCGTAGCAGTATAATTCACAATCTCATCGTCATGGGACTGTACAACAAGGAAATCCTTGTATCCTTTTCTCCCGGTCGCGGCGCCATACTGGTCTTGGAATTTGGTGTAAGCTTCATGAATCGTCTTATTCTGCTCAGGAGTAGGCTTCAATATGCCATGGTTCGGGAGGTCAAAGTTGAGGCCCGCATATGAATTGTCGCAGAGCCCAAGCGCATTCATCAGCGGGTAACGCTTCATGGCCTCCGGGGTTAAGACGGGTGGCTGTATGGAGAAATTCAGGGACTGGAAGACGTTCACAATCAGGGGGCCGAATCCATATCCCTCAGAAAGAGGAACGGCGGTCAGGAGATCATTCAGTCTCGCACTAGGAGCTACGGCAACTCCCCCCATGTATTCGCCACTCTGGTTAGAAGCAACACGGGGATTCTCCTCGAGACCCCATATGGCTCCAGCCCCTTGAGAATGACCGAGAGAAGCCCATTTAGTGGTGAAGACGTTTGGGAAAGCTTTGCGGGCGGCAACAACAGCGAAATATACGTCTTCTGAGTTAATGACTGGGTTTCCGTACTTGTGTGTGGTGTAGTTGTTGCCCAAGCCCGCGAAGTCTGTAGCAACCACGGCGAATCCGTGGGGTGGGAGAAGCTTCCAGCTGTCGTAATCGTACCCGTTATAAGAAGACGACGCGGCGCAAGCAGTGACAGTTCCGATAGTACCATGCGCATATGAAATAAGCGGTGTTTTGTTGGATGCCTCACTCAAATAGGGAAGAAGGATAAATCCAGTGGATGGGACTGGCTGTCCACCAACACCGACAGATGTATATTGGATGAACCATAACGAGCTGCCAGGGGTTATATCATACAGAGTGGAATTCTGCTGCTGAAGCTTCAACAGGTCTCCAGGTTTAGATTTAGTAAAGTTATCTGCGGTGGCGTAGAAGTCATAGTTAAATGGAACATCCCCAAAGATCGGACGGTCCAAAGCCTCGAATGTTTGTAGGTTCTCTAGGCAGGCCTTAGAGGAACAACCGTACGCATTACCTTGAGCCTGAGTGATGTTGAGGTCGTTCGGACGATTGGGCCGTTGCGCTTGAACAAGGGCAGCCAAAGAGGCCAGCAGAAGCCCCAAGGAATAAACAGTCATTATATTGGACAACAGTGCGGGATGTATGTATTACTAGGTTGAAAATGGATTTATAAATTGGCAACAAAGTTATAGAATAGAGCAGCAAGAGCGCGTAACGATTCTTTATAAACGTACATGTATGTAAGCTATCGTCGACGGAATGTGGCCATGAGATTAGGGACCGTGGACTGGAACGAATACTAGCTCTATTTGATCGGCCACTGAAGGTTAATTCTTATTGTAGCATAACGCGACACCGCAATTTTCCAAATCGGAAGACATTAACAAGGTGACGTTTCCCTAAGCGTAGGCACCCACTGATTAGAAAGTCTGTTTTGAACACGCAAATACTCTCCTAACGTCAATATTCACAAAACGTCAGATTGACGCTCCAACCTATCACTTATTCAGCCTCAAAGCCACCCAGGTTTGCGGCGGCTCAGTCTGACCTAACAGAGCCGGGCTCGACAACGTTCAAAAAACTTGAAGTGTTCCTCAAAAGTCCGTCTCATTGGTGATTTAAATTGAAAGTGGGGTCTAGGACTGACTCGAGGAAACATGAGTTGGAGCGAGGAAAGTTGGGGCGCCGCAGAGCCGCCCAAGCCGCCGTTGAGAATTTCCTATTTGAACCGTAGTGACCTGTGGACCGCACTAAGTGGCCCGTGCACTGGCTTTTTCCAAAACCGCCAAAGGTTTTCAGTAGAGTGTAACATAACATCGTGGCTCTAGCATTCAGCGCTTCCTATAATAGCCCACAACAGTAGAGCAATCCTATGCTAACAGTTGGGCGTCCTATCTACACATCTTTGTGGGTGGTCTTAGAATAAGTAAGAATAAAGAATACTACTCTAAAATTTTCTCACTTCAATCAAATCGCAGCCGTTGAGATAGGGGCCAACGCTCTTCGTTGTGTGTTACGATACAGTTTTCGACCTTGACTTCGTACATATCCAATTTGCAGCGGGCCTACCTTGCATCTTTACAATCGCTATGCCCGCCGTTTTCCATAGGCATCCCTCGTAAAGTTCAATCGTCGGGTTGGCACAGTGGTTGACAATTGAAGGTTAGCCAGATTGAGAGCTGAATCGATGACCAGCTGCACCGTCCTAGTGCCGAAAACCAGGCCAGGTAACCTCTAAAGAGGCCAAGCGACCGTCATATAAAGGGGAGAAGGATCAACGGTGGGTAGATATTTTGGCGAACTCCTCAATAAAGCATTTATCCGTCTTGCTATGTTGCTATGCGTTCAGCGCCTGCTCCCTTAGCCTCAAGAGCAGCATCTCATTTCAACTGGCAGCATCTACGGCAATGACCCGATTTGGAATACAACAGATCGTACGGTCGTTGCGGAAGACGGAGGATTCATCTACACAGGAAGCCGCCGCCCACGAGATATTCGACTATTCTACTGCGCCTCTCAGCAGCGCCACCGAAATCAGATTGCTCAGCTTCCCCGACTTGGACAACGTGATGTTCTTAAGTGCAAGCTGAGCACCTTCGATATCAACAAAGCACCGCCCTTCGCAACTCTCTCATACGTCTGGTACAACCCTCGCCTCAAGTCAAGTGTCAGTGTGCCTTGTGGCGATGGGAATCAAGCATTATCCGTTCTCGGCAATCTCTACGATGCGCTGAAACATCTGGTGCAGCAGTCCACCTCTGCATTTAGGGTATCAGTTCTAACCTACCTCTGGGCCGATGCCATGTGCATCGATCAATCTAATTTGGCCGAACGTGCGGCTCAAGTACTTCTCATGAGGCAGCTCTACCAAAAAGCGCAAAGCACTTACATATAGCTCGGCTCGGATCAGTCTACGGCAAAGGCTTTCTCACTTCTGTCGGACATGGCAGCCGCTCAGCTAAAGTACGTGGAAGCAGGAGATCGTCGCACATTTGCCGAACTGTCGGATGAAGACACAAGCAGATACGGAATGCCTTCCTTGGCTGATGATCGATGTTCTGACCTCCGGTCTCTGCTGGGAACAGGTTGGTTTACGAGGACCTGGATAATTCAGGAACTGACTGTATCATTCAACCCGCTGTTGGTGTGCAGCACGGAATGGTTCCCCTGGGAGGTCCTCGACAAGGTCCTGCAATTTGCAATAGAGATATCAGACCCATTGGTGTTATTGGCCGGGCTTTACCAGGCCTATGATCTCAATCATATACGGACCAAGATACAAGCCGGTGACTCACCAGATATACTGGAGCTCCTGTCCTTTGCCCAACGATTTGATGCCACTGATGCCCGTGACAAGGTCTTCGCTTTGGTAGGCCTTGCAAACAATCATTATACAGCTGCTCAGCATGTGCATCCAGATTACTCAAAGTCTACCCAGGACGTGTTCCTTGCTACAGCTTTTGAGCTCCTGCTATTCGACTACGAGAACTACCAAGACATGACGCTCTTGCGGCTGAGCCGGAAGTCTTCGAAGCAGACCTTGCCGAACTTGCCATCGTGGGTCCCTGATTGGGCGCTGGGCCAAAAGTCCATGTCAGTGTCAGACTTGATAAATTCAAACGTCTCTTCCAGTCAGAATATCAACGAGCATGATCAACAGATTCGCAGTACCTTTAAAGCGGCTGCTGAATCCGACTCACCAGGGGAAGCGCAAAAGCCCGTGCTCTCGCCAGACGGTCTGAGACTACGGCTCTTCGGCTACCCGATTGCGCAGGTAACGCGCACAGGACCAATCTATGAGAATGTTCGGGGACAGGGCTGGCTGGCTGCCCTGTTTGTGCCCCAGAGGCTTCACGCAGCCTTGAACGAATGGATGAAGATGTGTGAGACCGATACCACTGCGAAGCCAGCTGATAGTGTAGATATCCTGCGGAATGCTCTCACTGTAGAGCTTCTAGTTCATGCCGACGACGCATGTGGCATTTGTGCGGCAAGGCGACACGATTTAGACGTGTGGTGTAGACTACGGCAACGCTTTCTCCATCTGCCGGCGTTCAGCGTGTTGTCTCCATTACGTATGCTGATGGTGAGCTGGAAAACAATGGGGCTGACAGATTCTCCAAGCTCGCAGGATGCGATAGGCTCATACTGGAGGACATGGACACTTCTCAATACTCTACTCCTTGGACGCCGCATGTTCCGTACTGCCAAAGGAGAGATAGGCTTGGGCCCGCCATTGTGTCGGAAGGGAGATTACATATTCGTCGTCGCGGGCTGCAGAGTGCCGCTTATATTGCGGAGAGCCGAGGGTTCTGGCTTTTGGGAATATATTGGCGATTGCTATATGGACGGTGTGATGCAAGGTGAGCAGTTCAGACGGCAGGATTGCGAGGAGTTATGGCTTGTTTAAAATGGTATGCAGCAAGTCACGGTTCAGCGGAATGTAATCCTCATACAAAACAAAGCGCCAGAAGGTCTAAAACCCTTCTATGGCCTGATTATGACTAAATTTTACGAGAGATTGATTCAAGAAGGCAGAATGCCTATTCCATCATGCATGTACTCAAGGGGATTTCCCCTCTCGTCTATAAGGATATCTGGCTGCGAAAGAAACAGATTGACAATGTCAAGAGACAACTTTCCTCTTGCCATTATTAAGAAGTGAACGTATGAGATAAACTCATTTCCTCGACAGCGTAAAGTAGAGGAGTAGTACCTGCCTTCAACCCTTGACTATCCACGGATGCCTTGTGTTCAAGTAGAATCTCCATCGCCTTGCGATGTTTGAAGGTCGCTGCAATAGCGAGAGGAGCCCACAAACCACGAGTTGTAGGTTCTGCTCCAGAGATTGGATCTGCTCCAAGTTCCAGGAGGAACTCGACCATGCCATGATTGACATTGCTATATGCGACAACGAGTGGCGTTGCTGCTGAAACTCTCTCGTCCAAGAGCGACTTATCTTTGCCTACCAAAGACTTGGCGGCGCAAACGTTACCACACGCAGCTGTAACAGACAACATTTTAGCCTTTGAACCGTATGGCCTTCATGACCGCGTCTTGCTTCACGGCGGAAACGATGTTCATGATAGTAGTATAACAGAGACGATTAGCCACACGTAACGGAGAAACAAGCGTTGGGAAAGCACCAGTTGCAGGACTCGAATCCATACCGCATTCAGAAGTAAAGACACTAAGCGATCCATATTGAGCCAGGTTGCTCGCCATAGAAATGATGGAGGGCAGGCGATCTTTCAACAGCCACTAGAAACGTCATAATTGCCGTATTTTTTGGACAAAGATATCAAATTCTTGGCAAGCGACAACGCCACGTCTTCCTTGCCCTCTCTGATGGTGGTGACTCCTAAATTCAATAATGTGTCATAAGGAGACTTGAGCGTTCCGAACTCTGGGCGCGAGAACGGATTGCTCATGGCCTAGTACGCTCTGGACCATGACGCTAGTCCCTGGCCGGTGGCTTTTGATCCATCTCTTATTTCATTCAAGAAAAAGGAATTCTCTGACAAGTGGAATGGAAGAGGCTGAAATGCGTAAAATAAGATATCGTGACCATCTATAATCAGCGGGGGCGTGATACAACCGTAAGGCTCACGTCGAGATTCATATTCGTCGCATATGAGATCTAGCCGTTTCCGAGTTTCGGGTGCAGCCAAATAACTGAGTAAAAACTTCAAAATATTGTAAGGGGGTGCCGCCTCTCCAAAAATGTATCTTTGAGTTCTTTTCAAGGCAGTGTCGTACACTCTTTCGAATATGAACTGGGCCGCTGCAAAACTCTTTGAGACCGCGAAAACAACTGCAAATTTGGCGTGAGGCTTCCCGTAGTTCCATTTGACATGGGGTATGGAATGTACCGCTTTTTTGATAGTTGCGATAACAGAGCGCCATTGCAAGCTCTTCGTAACTCAGCGGCCGCTGTGCAATAATAATACCAACACCATATCCATCGAAGGACTTGTTGGTCGGGGATACTTCGTAAGTGTCTGCGCAAAATATCACCTTTAGTAGATGAAATCGTAATTGAGTCGAGGCGAGAGGAGAAATGGTGAAAAGCTCCTCCGACGAATCCTGAGGCCAGCCAGTGAGGTCCAATATTCGCCTCAGAATTGCATGTAGCTTTTTTACACCCATTTCCTTAAGCTCTTCCAGTTTGGCCCGGATCCAACGGCTGTGTTGCTTGCATTGATAGCCGCTTGCAATTAAACTATCTAGGTCTTCTCCGATAGTTCCATTCCTTGCGGCAACCTTGCATATATCGACAGAGGTATCTTTACACTGACGCAGCTTGTAAAAAAGATCAGCAGGTTGCTTTCCCGTCACCACGATTTTAATCGATGTTTCAGATTTAGCTGTGAAGCCTTTGAGCAATGCCCAAAATTCTTTTTGACTCTTCGTATCACATTCATGAAGATCTTGGACTAAGATAAGTATATTATGGCCCATCAATCTAATGTAGCGAGCTGTGAACAGTTTGAAAAGATCCACTCCCGTTCATACATGGTGTAGGATATTCTGATCGATCATGAGCTCATGACCTGTCCAGCTCCTACTATTCTCTTGACGGGTAAAATGTGAAAGTCATAGCGTGGTAAGCATACCCTTCATTGAACAGCTCAAGGGGTCGCGAGAAGAAAAGACGAAAGAAAAAAGCAACTTGCAATCATCTAGGCCTTTAGCTTTTCGGTCAAGAACCCAGTGGAAGAATGTCTGTTCTGCAACCTTAGCGACTTCGCTATCATTGCGTCCCTTGAGATATAGTACACGAAGACCACTGGATCTGTGCCATTTTAAGAACTCAACAGTCTGAAATGCTGGGAGCTAAGGATGAAAATGTGTAAATGAGAATTGGCTCTGTGCTGGAGCAAGGCCATGAGAGTTCGCTCCATGGGAGCCCATGACGAACAAGGAATGTAATATAGATGAGTTAGCAGAGATGTTATACAGCGATGATTCATGCTTACTACCAATTTCTCAGAAAATTTTAATCCTAACACGGGGAATATTTTCGGTACCGGCTATCATCACAAGGACAATACTACGAGCTCAAATATAAGCCTTCAAAATTCCAGTAAAATGTCTAAATAAGAGTGTAAATACAGAAAGTTAAACTTAATCAATTGGCAAGAGATTACAAGCTTTAGAAACTGGCTCTTCTGGCTCCCTTATCATAGTCAATATGGGGCCTTTGTGAGGCTCGAGAGACTCGTGGGGCTTCTCAAGTTCTTGGGATTCAGAACAGTCCAGGCCAATATGGTCTAACATTGGGCTTATATTGTCAATCGCTTCCATGATCTGTTGTACATTGATGTCGCCAGCTACTATAGGAGTACCATTCTCGATTGATTCAAGTGATATCGGCTTCCAGATATGATCTAATTCAGGGCCGTGTGCAATAGTGAGTGTCCTTCGGCTGCTGAGTCAATTGATCTAAACAATATGATGAGTCCGGGGTCCGCATATAATATGAAAGATGAAGCCTGCCACTTTTGCCGATCTCTGGCTTTATACTTATATTTGTGCTACTGCAGCTCATAGATGTGGTGGGATTTTCGTCACAGCTCGTCTCATTGAGCAATCTTTATAGAGTAGATCAGAGAGGCATTTGGCTAGATAAGCCTTAGATCGATCCCGAAGGAAACGACCCCGCCCTTTTTATCGCAGGACTTGTTTCAACAGTTGAAGATGAAACATCATGAGCGTCCTATGATCTCGTTACATAAATTTATAGAAAGTAATCTGGTACCCAATTCTATTATCCGATTTCGGAGCTATAACGTCTACTACTATCTATGCTATTGCTGTTATTATTGCTGCTATTGCTGTAACTGCTACTACTGCTGTTTTTATTGCTGCAACTGATGCTACTGATGCTACTGATGCTACTGATGCTACTGATGCTACTGATGCTACTGATGCTACTGATGCTACTGATGCTACTGATGCTACTGATGCTACTGATGCTACTGATGCTACTGATGCTA